CCGTTGTTATTATTATTAATCAAGAGTTGGCGATAATAATATCACTCAGAATCACGCTTGGTATCTATTTGGCGTGCACTATGAGACAAACAGGCTCTTTCCATAGTGATAAGTGTTTTTACCTAACTTACAACAAAGCATAGATTTTAAAAATTTTTTTAATTAATGTTATCAAGTATTTTTGTAATAAATGTTTAATTTTATAAAAATAATATTTATAAAAAAAATATGTGCGAATTTTTCAAACAAAAATTGCTTCAACTTAACTATTGGGGTTCAGAAGTTTTGCTGAAAGCATTAACGAAAGCATATTCACGTAATATTGAAAGACCCCAAATTTTTAAGAAATTTTCACTAAAGAAACAGGAGTAAAAAAATTCTTTTGCAATATAGGTCTTACGTAAAATTGAAATCAACTCTTATTATGACAATATTCAGATACACAAAATAATAAATTTTTAAGATATTTCAAACATGTAATTGTCAACATTTAAACTAGACAAAGAAAAGTGAAAGGTAATTAAACAATTTTTATTGAAAATAATATGTTTGAATAACAAACAATATTAAATGCCTCGTTACAGCAGAGAATTAGTTTAATGAAAGTTCATTTTAGGCTTTAGGTGAATTTTATTGAAAAAGTATGCAACAGAAGTACATACGAAACACAAAATATTTTAAAACCAGGTAAATACATTAGACTATACATGTTTATAACCTTATTTATATATACTAAAGTTGTATAAATCATAGAAAAATTTGTAATTTATATAAAGAGTGTTGTTCTTTCTTTTCTTTTTTCTAAGGATTTAGTATTTCAATATTTCAGGGTGATTATTCTGCAATAAGATAGAACAAAAAAGAAAATTATATACATTTAAAAAAATAAAACTTCGAGGAAATTAGTTTAAAAATTACAGGGATTAAGGGAAACAGCCAGCAATAAAGTTCGTGTTAAGTTTATTTTTTGTATAAAGCTTTTTTTTTCTGTTTTTGTTTTATTTATGCATAATAAAAAAAAAGAAGAGATTTTTTGTAAAAACTTATTCCAACTGGCTAAAAACGAAAAAAAAAAAATTCAAAAAAATTCTTATTTTAAAGCATTGATAATAAAAAAAGTTTGAACAATTAGCTCTTAAGTTTTCTATACTCATAAAAACTAATCCAAAATAAATATAAAATCCACAATTAAAACAAAAACATATTGTTTTTACTTTAAACAAGTTTTGTTTTTAATTCTCATTCCAGCACTATGGGTTTTAGGTAGCGGTTTGATAAACATCCCTGAGGATGATCCGAAAACACGGCATAGAAATTTTGATCCTCTACAGAAGGGAAGGACTACCCTGCTTTGGTAGCCCGATGACCTGAGCGCGAAGCCGAGCACTTAATGGTAGAACAGTTTAACGAGGACCGATACCGTGCTCCCTCGGTCCCTACACAGGCTGATGAAAGTGTTCACCCGTCAGCTTACTGACAGCAACCACTGATGCTTGACTCTGGTGTTCTACTGGGAACCGAGACTTTACGCTCAGTCCACTGCGGGACTCCCTGTTCCAGGAGAAAGATATTTTCTCTAGTATTTGAGGCATTCATTAAGAACGTGGGTTCTGACCAGAGTGGCATCTCAAAATCTACTCAATTTCGGATTCATGGGCACTAACTTAATGGGGAATTAAAGTCTGACGGCATAATGCTGACTAGATTCAGCATTGTGCTGTCAGTCTTAAAGTTATGAAATCCTACCTCCATGTCTTCCTCAACCTTTAGGTGAAAAACTGGCCATTGCTTAATTTGGTTAGCATTACGCTCAAGGCACCTCTATTTCCCAGACATACAGGGTATTAAGCCACCACAGAATTCAAACCCCAGTTCTACACAAAGCCTTAAGAATTGTGCAATTGTGGCTTCACATTTATTATTCAGGATGGCCACCCCAAAAAAAAATTTCATGGCTTTTCGAGACTGATGTTATTTAATTTCTATGTTTCTTTTCTTTTTTTTCATTGAAGATAATATTTTTTCTAGTTAAGTTGCATTATAATACATAAAATATAACACACAACAATATTTGCTACTAGAATTTTAAAAAAATTTTAGAAAAAAATTTTACAAGAGCAATATTTTGGAAAAAATATTAGACTTTCAAGTATCTAAAAATAATTCCTTTTCCTTNTTTTTTTTACTTTTTTTTTTTTTTTTTTTTTAACTGAAGATAATATTTTTTTTAGTTAAGCTGCATTATAATTCATAAAATATAACACACAACAATATTTGCTATTAGAATAATAAAAAAATTTTAGAAAAAAATTTTACAAGAGGAATTTTTTGGAAAAAATATTAGACTTTCAAGTATCTAAAAATAATTCCTTTTCCTTGACTTTTGTATATTTTAATTAAATTCCCTGAAATTTCCTTGACTATTCTAGCTTGATAAAATTTCCTGTCTCTTCACAGTTCTCCTGTATGAGGCCACCCTGATATAGAAGCAAATAAAAAAATTTACATCACAGAAAAAAATAAGAATATAGACAAACAATCATTTTATATAAAAATATGCTGTAAATTGCAAATGTAAAGTAAAAGTTTCTTGTTCTTAAAAATTTGATTGCAAAAATTGTCAAGAGCAACCACAAGAAAGACTTTTCCTTCAAAAAAGTATGTTTACCTAGAAATTTATGAAGAAAATTATAATTACACTAATAATCTAAAAAATCGAAGAAAAATTTGTTGAAATTCAAGAACTCTTGTCTACTGAATTGGTAGTCACCTCATATTTTGCATTGTTAACATTTTGCTGACCAGCAATTTCACGCAGAATCTACTTCATGTCACTGGTTATCATTCTGTACGTAAAATAAAAGTAAAGTAAAACATTCTAACTAAATTTCAATAAATTTTATTTATACTGAATGAAGTAAAATTAAACTTTGAAGTAATCTATATCGCCCTGGGTTCCATAAATTGAAATAGATAATGTAAGTGCAATGCTTACAAATTTACTCGTCAGTGGTCAACATAGTGTTGAAAAAGATAATGATGAAAGGATAAAAATCAATCATCAGTTTAATTGTAAAAAATAAGGCTGATTGGAGGCTATTGAACTGTTCCTCCTACCTTGTCAGCAGAAATAAGCAAATCACAAAATCCCTCCCCTTACAAAATTCTGTCTTATTTCATTTATAAAAGTTAAAGTAGAATATCCTTTCTGAATCTCTTGAGTTCAAAACTCTTGCCATCTGATACTTTTTTTAAAATGATTTTCCCCCAAATTCAACTTTTAATCCAAATTTGAAGTTCTTCATGTAATTTTTGTTACGTTTTTTATTCGGCTTTTTGAACAAAAATTTGGAAATAAGAAGAATTACTTACACACCTCTTCCTCGTCAGCAAAAGTAAGCAAATTAGAAACCCCTGATCCTATTAGGTGCTTACATAATATTTGGATGTCCCCTTAGAAACATGTTTAACATTTTCCCTTTCCCCTAACATATTTTGATGGTTAAGTTCAGTCATAAGGGAAAAAGAAAAACTTTTGTAATAAAACTATTAAGAAATGATTTATTTTCAAACCTACTCATTAAAAAAAATGAATAAAAGATTTAAGTAAAATGTATAAATATGCTTACCCTTTTATTATTAGTATTTTTTTCATTTATTCCATAGTGAAAAAAACAATTTATATTTTATTAACCTTTTAATTGTCAAGTTATTTTGATGATATGGGTACATAAACTGTCAATTTTTTTATTGCAAAAACTAAATAGTTAGAACAAAATAAAATATACTTGGTAGTTAAAAATTGATACTTTAAATTATATGCATAAAAATTGGAAGATTTTGTAGTCACTGCATATTTGCTTGAGGCAGTAGTAAGGTTTAAATTTTCTAACGAAATAAATCATCTATATAACGTTTCGAAGAACTGAACGCCGTTTCACAATAAAAAGATGCTGCACACTTGGAACAAAAACCTCTATTCTTTTTTAAACCTTCAGTAAAGTGCTGCCATCTATTGTTAAAAATTGCACTTAAATTTACTTTTTCCCCTAGATAAATTCGGGTTTGACAAAGAGATGAAACTGAAATAAACTTCTCCCGATCTATATACAGGCATAATAAAATAATGCGTACAAAAAAATTAGCCAGAGTAATATTCGGGCGTGACATTTTGGAACCCCAGTGCTATCTATGCCCAAGATTATTTTTGGCATGACAGTTAAAAGGTTAAGAAGCATTGCATTTAGAGGAAAGCTGGTGTTCTTTTTTTTAAAAACAAAAATGTATCAGAAAATGATCCTTGAACCAAAATTGATGAAATATTTTAAAAAATTTATGTACAAGCAACTTAAATCTAGTATCTTAAATTTTTTCAATGCACATAAGCAATATACAATTTAAATATTTCTAACACATTTTTAAATGCCATACACTTACATAGATATGAGAATACATTGCATTGCATACAAAAAACAATCTAGTCATACAAATAATTTTTGATAAAATTACTTAATAAAAGGATACGTGAATACTTTTATTTGTTAATTTATTAACACAATTTAAAAATTTTTTTAAAAATTAATTTCAAAATAATTGACTGACTCTTACCTGTATAGATTCTAGCAAATTTTTCCAATAATAAATATTAACACCACTAAATGAAACAATTTTTGAGCCATTAAATAGTTTATTTCAGAATTAACCTTTATTAGATTTTTGTTATTTGTTTTATGAAGAATCAATTAGGCAAGTGAGACATATCTTTCTTAATTACAGCAAAGTGACCACAAAACAAATATTTTGATTCTTCCTCAATTTTTCCAGACAGATTTTATTGAATTTCGATGACTTTAGTAACAATTGTAATAAATATTATTATTAATTTTTCAGCTAAGTCTTATTCACAAAAATGCATATAATAGCTATTTAAATTTAAAATTTTTTTAAAAAATAAAAAAAAATGTGATACATTTTTTATGGAAAAATATTGAACTTTTAAGTACATCAAAAATAAATTTATTCAAGCTCCCATCCCTTTTGCGTATTTTAGTTAAATTACGAACCGTTCTAGGGTCACCATTTTAATGTGACCAATACAGAGTGATTTTCATGATAAATATGTAAACGTAAGTCCAAGTACCAGAAACATTTATTCTTAAATTAACACAAATATAAAGTGGCATTAAAATGATAATCAAGAGAAACATTATAAAAGTTTTCACATATTTTTTAACAAAAATTAAATACATAATTTAATACAAACACCATCAACAAATTTAGTTGAAGAAATACAACTGTACACAGCAGTGAGTGAAGAAATAAAAGAAAAGAAAATACTGCTGATAGAAAAATAACAAATACTTTTACCTTCTTAATTATTAACATATATTGAAATACAAATGAAAGAAAAATAGAAGAAAATCATTTATAGAGTAAATGAATAGAATAGCATTGTTCTAATATTTTAAGCGCAGAAAACAAATGGGAATAGAAGATCACGTGGTTACAATCTTCCCAGTGTCTTCCTTTCCTCTGTAAATAGCTTTTCCTGTAGTCCAGGGTAAATAACGATATTTCATCATGTGCTGTAAAAGAAATTAAAAAAACACCCATAAAATGAGAAGACAACCACTATTTTTGCATTAATTTTATGTTATAATCTAAATCTAAAGTTGAAATTATACTTCTTTACTTAACACTTAAAAACTAATTTTCAATGTATTTTTTCTTCCAAAATAAAAACTGTGTTGATTTCAATTTAAAACTTGGTTCTAAAGTTAAAATTTATTATTATTTTCTTTTATTTAGATGAAATATCTAATATTAAAAAAACTCCTTTTCAATAAACCTTTCTCTACTGAAACATTTTTTTTTTTGTTGTATTTATTTAGACATGTTAATTAATTTTGATATACATTGCACAACATAAAATACAAACTTAACGCAACATTCGATTTTGTAGCAACATTCCATTGAAGTTGTTATTATTCTGAAATGGTTCGGAATCATTGCCTCACTAACATATTTAGGAAATGTGCAAAAAAAAGGGAAAAAAAAAAGAAGAAAAAGGGAGCTTTCTTTCATACTTCAGCTAAATACTCATAAAAAAATACTACACTGATCCAGGATGTTAATATTCACCGTAACTGTTGCTGCTGATAACTATTGCACCAAATTGTGATAGAATAAATCATCATATTTGATTAAAAAAATGAGAAATAAATTGAAAAAAAAAAACCTTTTTCCTATTAATTATTAAACTACATTAATGAACAATCAATTTCATTAAATTTGTCACAGAGAAAAATATGTTTCAGAATGTCTGTTTACATTCAATTTTTAGCCATGAAACCTCATGGTATCTTGCTGACTAGATGAAAGATAATAATTTGCAAACTTTTCAAACTCAGTTCCAGTTTCCATCATGATGAACGATAAAAGATTGCCCTTAAAATTTAAAAGTCAAAAAATTAAATTTAGGTTTTATGAATATAAATAATTGTTGCCAATCTGAAATTTCTGAGGATAATTGTTTCGGTTTCTATAGCTGATAGTTAAAGTTAGATTAGTAACTAAAGAAAGTTCGAAATAAAGAACTCTTAGCACGTTATGTTGATCACATTGTAACTCTTCGTCCTAACATAGTGGATTCTCAATTTCTTTGATTAACGACCAGCTGTTGAATGAGTGCTTAACCAACAAAAGAAGTATGGTGAATTTATTTCACGGTCATTTTTTCTTTTCCTCATTTGTCAATTTTCTTTTTTAAATTCGCCAAACTGATATGGGTCAGCCATACCTACCTTAATCTGCTTCTTCATGGTGACAGTAAAGAGTAAAACGAAGTAAAGCAGAAGAATAGGCCAGAATACTGGTATGTTGAAGAAGTCAAAGCATGTGCAGAATGCAGCAATAAATATGGCTCTCGTGGCTGAATACCTGTTAAAGAAGAATTGTTGATCATCATCTATTTCAATAACAAAAGAAAAGCTTAGGGGCAACAGAGTGATAGTCCACATTTTTAATCGTTCAGTTGAGTGTTTTCTAAAGAATATTTTTAGTGAAAAACACAAAGATTTCAATCTAGAAAATAAGATAAATGTTTCAGTGTATTGTGCTATTTTATCATGTGGAAATTCTGGAAGCTTGTAAAGTACCTATTCAAAAAGAATGCCCGCAAAGAGTGTAACCTAAGAATGTCTTTCTTAGAAGAAAAAAAAGTGTGGCTTATCATTCTATTAACTAATTTAATAGATTTTTTTAAAAAATGGAATGATTACCAGAAATCTAGGTAGGTAGATAAAGAGGAGAGTTGAAGGATTTTAGCAGAAAAAAACTCAAGCCTGTGATTAGATTTTTGACTATATAGGACAAGAGAAGACTGTTTAATAGACTTATTTTGCATGTATCTTTCATGTTCTTAAAAATTCAAGGGTACTTTTAGTTTGTCCATAATACACAAGATCAAACTAACAAGAAATTTTTAAATATCCCAGTTATTAATAACAGCAAAAGAATCTTTAAGGTGAATGAAATTTAGTTTGTTTGGAGGATAGAATATGACTGAACTCAAATTTATTTAAAATCTTAGCAGTTTGGGAACAACTTTACTGATAAGATAAAACAATAAATTTTCAGTAGATGGAATCAAAAATATTAAATGAAAATCTATAGTCAACAGCAATAGCTTTAAAGTAAAGTAAATCTCCATTGAGGAGATAACCATGAGAACAAATTTTATAAGCATGGTAAATAAACATGCTTAAGGTAATTTAGGTTGGGATGTCAGGTTATGAGGGAGAAATGAAACCACAAACAGATTCAGAAAAACAGCAATGAGAAATTCACTGCAATTATGGTTAAGTTGGCATGGTTATGACTCAAAAGTTTAGGAACCAATTTTTATTGTTATTGGTTAGAATTCGTCGGAATCATCGATTATTAACTTCTCTGTCATCAAGAGCTCATTGCCACAAATCACAATTTAAAATTATCTTTGTGCAGAAATGAATATCCTAGGTGAAAAGTCAAGTCTGATGTTTTTTAATAAAACTCATAATATTTCATAAAAGAACTCATTTTACGATTTCATGATATTATTAATAAATGTTTGAAAACAGATTTATTTTGAATTTTTCAAGAAAAAGAAATAATAAGTTTGGTTTTTCTCTGAAAAGATTAAAAGATTATATTTCATAAGTCAACTTCTTCAGCATGCATATATATGTGGAGCTGTTGTTTCAATGTCATAGTGTAATAGCTGCGAACATCACATAATGCTTTAAGATAGTTGCATCATCCTTTTTGTCATTGAGAGGCGCCAGCCAGTCCCGGTGGGGAAGTCCCGAATTTATAATTAACTCTTGACTTTATACCATAGAACAATTTATTTTTCTTATTCACATGCACTTTGGAGACCACTGCGAGAAGGCAGCTCTCACCAACCATGTCACTAAATTTAAATGTGTTTCCTTTTTTTTGTATTAAATGTTATGTTTAAATGTAAAATTATTGTCGTTATTTCATCTTATGCTGCACTAACTCCCACACACACACACATATATATATATAAATATATATATTTAATATATATTAATAGTTATGTAATAAAAAAGAAAATTATGCACCTATAATTCCCCCCCCCCATAAATCAACCAAATATCCCCATAAACCAATCAAAAATTAACATTATGTTCTTTTACCCTCATGATTATCATTTTACCCCTTTCTGAGTACTTAAATTCGGGGCTGATACTTTTTAAAAGACTCTAAATAGTCTAAGATCTTTTTTTAAATTCAAAGTTTCTTTTTTAAAAAAAAATAAAAGTTTATAAATTGTTACAAGCTAGACTTAAAATTTGGCGGCTAGTTTTAATCTAATCAGTTTTAAAATTACAAGGAATAGAATGAAAAGAAAGAAAAATATTCATTAATTAATATAAAGATATTAATTAATGCAATAAAAAGAAAAATTGTGTACAAATAATTTTCCATAGATTAACATAAAGGAAGTGAAATTCCTTTTCTCTTTGAAGAGGCTCTTTATTGTCTAAATAAAACTAAATGCAAATTTACAAGGTTCCCACTCAATTTTAAAAATAAAATTCCCTAACTTTGGCAGAAAAATTTACTACATAGCAATACTTTATCCTCAATATATATTTTTTCTTTAGTTGACAATAAAAACTCCTTTTTGATAGAAAATAAGTCAAATAAATGTATATATATATATATATATATTTAAAAAAAACTTCACTAAGTGGATGCCTACCGAGTAGACTTCATAATATACCACAATATTTACACATAAAATAGTAAAAATTTAAAAACTCAGAGCAACATAGCTTATTAATAGAGTTATATCAGTCATATATCTTACTCATGAAACTTGTTACACATAAAAGCCAAAATAAATTTATACAGAAAGCTTAGTTTCTAAAGATCTAGTATTGTTGAAAGGTAAATATGGTTATTTAAGAATAGGTACCTATTATATAAAAAAAGAAAGAAAGAAATGCTAAACAAAGACTATTTTTCACAAATTAATATTCTTGCTTAATAAAACTAAAAAATAAATTAAATCCTGTAGTAGAATTTTTTTTTAAAAAATAATAAAAAATAGATATTAGATTTATTTACACCTTACTACTTTGAACCTTATCATCTACTTATTGTTAGGATATTGGTTGTTTTCCGAGCTTATTACAAGATTTTTAAAAGGTGTTGACCAAAAATTGCTTTAGTTCCTGACAATACCCAGTACCTTTTTTTTTTTTTACTTTTAAAATTAAATTTCCTAACGTTTTAAGAATCCTGGCCTTATTGCAATACTTTTTCTACTTTTATTATGATTCTTAGCATCAGTATGAACAATATAAAAACGATCATCTCAATGTTAAAAAGAAATAATCAATCTTAGAAATGTATTAAATTATATAAAATTGTTGTGTTCGAATTCCTATAAAAGTTTTTTTTTTTTTTTTACCTTTTGTAACTCTCAAAAAAGATTTAATGATCGAATTTCGACAAAAAGGATTTTGGAACAAGATTCTGTAGAAGGGAAAAAAACTGCAACAGTTATGCTTCAAAAATAAAATAATTTTTGTTAAAAAGAAGAACTTCAACTCACCAGAACTTAAACTCAGGTAAACGACGTATAAATGGCCTGAATTCTTGGTTCACAGTTGTTGGCAATTCTGGACCATCATCTGCAAAAACATAGAGAGTCAATGAAAGTAATAAATGAAATTAAAATTCATAGGGACAATAGGGCTGAAGAAAAAAGCTTGAAGAAAAAAAGAAATTAATGTGTAAAAAGAGATTAGAAGATATATTTATTGAGTTCATTTCTACCGGTTATCAGTTAAAACACAGAAGAAATTATATGACCAAAGTTATTGCCCTCATAAGCTCTGTGGCTTGAGGGTACAGATAAGGTTGTTTTTTGAAGGCTCCTTCGTAATATGAAACGATGCTTTTTGTGTCAATAATGTGCTGTTTTTTAAACTGCTGTTAGTTTGCAACTATTACTCATGTCTATTAGGTCAAGTTGAGTCTATCTAAAGCCACTGTTGTCTGTGCTTATTTTAAAAATGGTGTAAAACGTCAATATGGAAAAAAGCCAGTTTCGTGAAAATGTAAAGCGTTTGTGGTTTAATATTTAAAACCTTACACCAATGCTACATTACCTGAGCTCACAAAATTTTGCAAAAATTGAAAATCATTCCGTGATTTTGATAATTTTCATCTTGGTAAAAAAATTTCGCCAAACAATTAGAACTATTTTTTTTAAATTACGATTTTTACAATTAGAACTATTTTGTAATATCAACTAAGTTTAGTAATATCAATTAGTCAACTAAGAACTGTATTCAATAAATTATTTTAATATAAACCCATCAAGATTCTACTTTCAAACTTAATTAATCACTTCAGTGTTAAAAAACACTGAACAAAAAAATTTCAATTTTAGTTAAATCAGTTTTTTAAGTAGTAAATGTGTTGCATATCATTATAAAGGTCTTGAATATATCTTTAAAATGGCACTTATCACAACTCTCTAGCTAAATTAGGAGAGATACATGTCATTTTAAAAAATGCTCTGAGAAGGTTTTTTGACTGATTTATTTATTTATTTTTGCTTTTGCAGGGCTATATTTTCAAAATCAGTAGATATTTTTGAATAAAACTTGGTATGCTCTTATACTAATACAAATACTACAATTATACCAAATTTCAATTAAATATTGAAAGGAGATGTAAAATAAGTGTGTTGATTGGACATGGAATGATAAGCTGGTAAACAGTATAAAATGCTGATGTGACAGTTGTGTAGCTGTTAGAGGCAATCATACACACTATTTTATTTTATAACCGTCTTTGAACAGCTGACCCAATTTTTAGGTTTACGACTAATATTCAACTGAGTAGCGCTGTAAATTTGAACCCTATCAAGAACACAAAAGAACTCTTAGATCAAATATTTTGAGAAATTTGCCTTCATGGAGGACATTTTGATGGAACTAACCCACATTTGCATTACATGGAGAGGAAAGTCACGAAAACCTCCCATGGTTAGTATAGCGGCAAGGGGACTCTAACCTGTGATCCATCTACCACTGAGGATATTTTACGCCAGCACTGTGGTCGGTGTGGGGCGGGGAATTCATATTAACCAGCCATCACAGGGATTCAAATACAGTTCACCTCAATGGAAGGTAAATGCTCTGAACCATCAGGGCTCCATACACCCTATTAGACCTTGTTTTTCTTTGACTGGCAAGGTGTTGGACAGTTCCATATTTAAAAGAAAGGCTGTGCCTATTTTTGTTTTGTTTTCCCATGCATTGGTCTTATTTTGGATATTTTGGCCAGGACTGGTTTTATTTGTTTGTCCTTTAATTGTTTCCACGAGTGTAATTCAACTGCAAAATTATATTTAATTTATTTTGTTCCATAAAACATATATACTTAACCATAATCTTCTTTTGCTGCAGGATCAATTTTAGGAGAGAGAAATGCAATAAAGAGACTCAGATGACAGATGCCCAGAGCATATGTTATAATATAAAATCCCTACGAAAGAAAAGAATAAACATGCTTTTATTTTTCCAATATTTTAAGTAGCGTCTTTGCTTACAGTAATTTTAAATATTTAAAAACATTTTTGCAAAATTTTACTATTCATATGATAAAAATAAGTGGTGCCAAACCAGGAAACTAGTACAGTAAACTATCTAATAATGCAAACCTTAAAACATGAGGCTCAGTGTTACATAAAATTTTGCCTATTAAACACAGCAAACGTATGTCTGGAACAGATCAATATTTAAATGCTTTAAAATGATTTTTAGATGTTAATTACTTTATAATACCAAAAACATGCAATTAAGCACCTTTTATTTACAGCAAGAAAACAACTGAAATAGCAAGAGTATTAGAATCAACAATATATATATATTGAATTACATACTGCTGTGAACCCTTAATTAGTGCTCCAAGTCAGGTTCACAGATCTCTTGAGGTTTTTCATAATCAAGCAATTCGCTTGATCACTGGAGCTGTTAAATCCACCCCAATAGATGTTATGCTCCTTTGAACAGGAATTTGGCTGAAGGAAAAAATAATTGAAGAAAAGGCCTTGATATCCTGGGAAAAAAATATTAAGGACTCCTGGGTATCTTTCTCTGTGGAACCTAGAGAGTCCCAGGGAGCGCCACTTAAAGACTCAAGCGGGTTTCCTACAGGAGGTGCTGAGCTTAAAAGACAAATACAACCTTTTTATTGAGCTTGAAATTCTTCCCACTCCTTGTAGCCCACTGGACTACCAGACTCTCAATGTGGTCACAGACCTTGCTCTCAGAGTCCTAAAATCAGATTTTGCCTGTGATGTCCTTAAAGGTACCTCTTACGCAACTATGAATCAGCTATATCCTGAACCTGAATGGTTGAGAATCTTTACAGATGGCTCCCAAGTGGATCAGCGGGTGAGTGCTGGAGTGGGAGTATTTTGTCACCTGTTCTCTGCCTGAGCTTCTGTTGGCTGCTATGCATCTGCCTACGACCATGAAATCGAGGCTATTCTAACTGCCTTAAAACAACTATAGTGTTGTACTAACCAATTTTCTAGCGCCATCATCTTATCTGACTCTAAAGCAGGACTTCTTGATATTAACTCTCCACTGATTCCCCAATCCATCTCCATTCAGAAATGCATTGATTGTCTGAAAGACCTGACACTAAAAGGCAAGCAAATCGTCCTCCAGTGGATCCTGGGACATTGCGGGATTTGGGGTAACAAAAAAGCTGATTTTTTGGCCAAGAAAGTGTGGCGTAACTACCACTACGAGTATTAAACATCAATTCACTGGTATATAAGACATGCTAACTTGAATCTAACACGAGGTACCTTTTGATAGATGACGGTTGGTATTGTCGATAACTCCTCCCCCACATTGGCGACCTCCGGACGTGATTTGGACACACAGTAATGCCCACTTTGCAAAATTTCTAACAGTAACACCTACTTCGATGGATAGTCCACATTGAAAGTTGACTAGCTATTTGTGACTGCATCATCACCCTCCTGCGCTGTTGCTACTCAGTCTCGTCTCGAGCATACACAACGTCATACACTCTCAACGCCTGCATACTCTCGACTGCTAATGGCAACACATGAACGACTTCCTTCGACTGTGAAGTTAATGCACCTCTCACATTCAGCACTCAAAAAAATCCGGTGTTTCTCTCTCCCGGTTTTTCACAAGTACAGAAACTAGTGAGATCTGCTCATAAAATTATATCTCTGATAAAATTCTGGTGGGGGAGTATTGTGGCGTAACTACCACTACGAATATTAGACATCAATTCACTGGTATATAAGACATGCTAACTCGATTCAATCATGAGGTACCTTTTGATAGATGACGGTTGGTATTGTCTGATAACTCCTCCCCCACAAAAGGAACAACTATTGCCCAAGCATCTCGTTTCTCCATCTCCCTGCACTCATTTAAATTGCTGGTCCAAAACCAATTCCGGAACATGCTTTCAGAGAATTTCCGTAAAAGGAATATACACAAAACCTGGTTCAACCATAATTTAACTATCCCAAATCAGCCTAGGTTTAAGGCAGTTGCTCTCTTTAGACTTGTTATGGGTCATGACTGTCTGGCCACACACCTTTCTAGTATAAAAATTTTTGACTGTCCTAAATGCTCTGTCGCATTGGGGAGGACATGGACCTGCCCCATATTTCTGTCTGTCCTGCACTCATCTCCACTACTGTGTGTGGACGCTACTGGGAGGCTAGGGCCTGTATGGGCTAAGCATGTTACTATGCATTCTATTCTATTTATCTCTTTTTGCCTTGTTTTTCTTGTTATTTTATCCTTTTTGTTCTTTTAAATTGGCCTGCCATTGAAAATAAAAAATAAAAAAAATATTAATATTGATTTGCTCTAGAGATTGTAGATTCTTACTTTTTTAAACTCAGTTAAAGAATTTTTTCAATGCAATTTTTTTTGTTTACATAATTAAAAAATTTATTAATACTCGTTTGCTTTACAGATTGTAGCCTCTTAATAAATAATTTTTCTTGCTGCCTTTTTAATGGTTCTTGCTTTGTTAAAGAAATTTTTACAATGCAATTTTCATTGTTTACACCCACAAAGTTAACGTAGTTTAAGGAGAATTGCGACTTATAGAATTGTGGTATGTAGCTCTTTTACTGTATCAATAGCTATGAAAACAGTAATTAATTTATGTACCGTATAAAATTTACAAATAAATTTTTTCCAAAGCAATGTAAAAAATCTTCTAATTGTTTTTAACGTGAGAAAACCTTCATATGTTTTCCTAAGAAAACACTCACTAAATTTGCTGTACTACTTTTTTAATTTTGTGAGTCAAAGTAATAGTTTTGTTATTACCCTGAAAAAAAATCAACTTATTTAAAAATCAAATTCCATGGGTCTTTTTTCTACAACCCTCTTCAAAAAATAAACTAATCTAAAATATGTACAGCGGAACTCCGGTTTTACGTAGGTTATTTCGTACGTTATCCTGCTTTCTATGCCATTTTCTGCTGGTCTTTGAAAATTATCTATATCGATAATGTAATTATCGGTTTAGATATTATCGATCGCAATGATAACAATCCCGGATATTATCCCTTTTTTGAGAAAATTCCATTGTACGTATTTCTAACAAATCAAAATCAATTTTTCTCTAAAAAGTTTGCACATTTTTTTTTTCTTCCTAAAGAGACTTGCTTATTAGCTTTTCCAACAATTCTATTTGATCCTATTGTCTTCTTGACTAGGAGAGGAAATTCTCTCTTGAGTCTATATCAGAAGCATGGTGGGATGGACAAAGCTTGGGAAGGGTGGTTAAAGGAAGTATGGGAACTAAAATTGTAAAATTTGAGGGTGAAATTTTTTCCAGCAATCTTATGGAATTATCCAATCATTTAAAGAATGTTACACAGGTTAGGTAATCACTGGTTAGTAAATTGTTAGGTAATCATATCGTTTTCTTGGTTCCAGTAACCTACAAGATCTTTCGAAAACAAAAAAAAAATGCTCTGAATTTGATTTCCTGTCGACTAAAATGCATTACAATTGGGTTAAATAAAACTTCTCAGGGTTAATTGTGTCTCAGTATCCAACAGGAAGATTGGCCCAACTAAATAAAATTGCGTGGTTGAAGATCTTCTGCAGTCAATGGCGTGTACATCGACAGCAACACACACAACCATTACTTTTCAATTCCTTCACTATCTGATTTAATGTCTGCTCTCGATGATAGTGATAAAATCAATGAAGATGAGTAAAAATCAGCGAAGGATAAGTACCAAATACAGATCAAGAGTTTGAAGGCATTAAAAACAATGAAGCATTTGTGAATGTAAACCATAAAACAAATTTGCAAACAACAACAAATATTGAGAGAGATGTTAAAACAATATCTAAAAGCAACAACAAAAAAAAATTAAAGATTAAACACTTTTTGTGGTAGTTCATATTGCAAATGTGAATTTGTGAAAAATATATGCATATTTTTTTACCCCACTTATACGTTATCCTGCTTCATGCTTTATTCATTACTAGTCCAAAGGAAAATATAAAATCAGGGTTCCACTGTAGTTCAATTAACTTTTAAAGAAAACCAATGCAATCCATTAGTTAAATAGCAATTTTCGTTAAACAAGGGGCAGCAAAAACTAGGCAAAATAATGCACTAAAAATGATGCCAGTAATGTGATATAATAACAAAAGACTCGCAACTTTTTAATAATCCAATGTCTAGTTAAATCAAGAAACACAATAAATAAGTTTGAGTGTATTAGCAAAAATAGTAATTTTTTTAAACAATTGTTGAAATCACAAGCAGTTTATTAAAAATTCAGCGGTTAACTTTGAAAGGCTATTCAGCTATTAACTAATCATCAAAAATTATAAGGCATTAGTAAATTATTTATCATCATGCACTCCTCTTGTAACTACAGTAGCATTTATGTTTTCTAACGTACTCAATAGATGGAATGGTCTCTGTTTTTCAAAGCTAAGGTTTAAGGTTTCTCTTGCCAATAATACTGTAATTGTTTTGTTGAGGCAGTACTCTTTGTGGTAGTACTAAAACATGTCCTCTAAATTTATTAAGTTGAATTGAAAATAACTTTCTTGCATTAGATTAATTTAACACTGTTCCTCTTTTCATAATGTGATCATTCATGAATCGGTAAAGTTGAAGGAAATATTAACAAAACTGCTTAATTCTTAAATGAATATTAATATTAAAATACTCACTTTCAAATAAAATACTCTTATTAAATATAAGCAAAGTAAAATGACAGTAACTGTCCATCTTTGCAAAGTGTAAGGCGTCCAGCAATCCAGAAGATATTGGTATTTCTTTAAAAAGAAAAAGATAAAAAATTTTAAACATTTTCTCGGAAACAAAATAATAAAATTATAGTTTAATTATATTTATAATTTTTGTTTTCTCATTAGTTAATTTTGTAATTTCTCTATTTAAATTTAAGATTGAAGTGATTAAGATTTGCAATGATATTATTAATTACATGTATATTTATATGCATTTTATAAATTTTTACATCATTTTGAAAGGCAAAATTTGAATGAAATTGGTTTAAAAAGTTTTGAGAAATTTTAAATATACGAATTTTTGAAAACTTAATAATTCAAACTATTTTACTAATTTCATTAATATTTTTGCCATTTAAAATTATGTTACTTAAAACGCTGTTACAATTTACCTTACATTAAAAAAAAAAATTTACTAATAAAATAATAAAAATTAATTAATAATTATTTCAAATTATTTTTTTGTATTTAATTATCTTTGTAAAAAGGAATTTTACATGTTTGTGCAAAAATATTTTGAGTTGGTTAAAAAATTCTTAAGATATGTCGTAATGCACAAAAAGTAAAATTAACAATGAAGGATCCAAACTATTAGGCACATATTTTAAGCATGCAGTCACTCCTCATATTATTTAGGGAGAAAAAAAAAGAGTCTGAATTTATCAGGAAAAAAAATGTTTAATATAGCAAAGTACATTTGTATGTCTTATTTTGTAACTTAAAATATTGTTTCGTTAATTAACATATTTAAGGTTAGGCTTTAACTATTATAATTGAGTCATCATATGAGAAAATCTGATCAGTAGGCCAAAAGTTATTCAAAGTGTTCACTCTTTTATTTTATGTGCTGTACATTTACAACACAATTGTCAATCATATTTCCAACAGAATATATGCAGATTATTTTTAAGATGGTGAAATGAAGGTCACAAAAAATTTTGTAATCTACTGTTTTAAAATGTTGTTTTGGGATGTATATCACCACAACGTTTAGAAAAAAACATTGGCAACATTCAAATAAAAAATTTTAACATAGGAACAAATTGATTGAAGACAGTTTTAAAAAATGGTGTGAATTCCCGCATTTGTACAGAGATCTGTAAGGAGAGAAATCTTGGAATTTTTAACTTTGGAAGAAATTATTTCAAAACTGAACTGTATAAAATAGAGAAACTAAGAAATAAGTGTGTACAAAAATAAAGGAATGATAAAAAAAAACATAATAAAAGAATAACAGAACAGTTTTAACAATCGAAATCATCAAGCAAATTTGGAAAATGAAAGCAGACAGTTATGGTAAAAAAAGCTTCGCCTGAATTTCATTATACAGATATTTTATTCTAGTCAAATAACCTTAATGTTTATTAAATAATTCCACTTTAATTCTTACAATGGGAAAAAAATAAGAAAGAAAAATATGTAAAAGAAACTTTGGCAATAGGTTATTTTAATTTAAAGTAGTTATTTAATAAATAAAACTTCTTTTTATAGTTCTTCAATTATGTAACCATTTGATCTGCTGACCTGGTACATTTTATCGTTCAATCTGGCTATTTTCCTTCATGGCAAATAAAAGAATAATAATATTTTAGTGAAATAATTTGTTTTCTTTTTAAGTTTAATAAAATTAAAAACACTTTTCACATAGTTACTAAATAATTTGTTTCTAAATTATTCCACAAAATTAGTTTCATTCATTAACAAAAACTTATAACAAAATAAATTAGTTAAAACAATAATAGAAATTACTTGAGAAATAAGCTGAAAAGTCCTCACAATCCTTGACTTTTGTGGTGGTGTATCAATAACAATTTCTGACTTAACATCCTCCTACAATGTATAAAATTATTATAAATTAAAACATATTTTGGCACTGACCCAGTTACCACAAAAAGTAAATTTGGTAGAAAATAATTAAAAAACCAACAACTATTTACAGACAAAAATGAGAGCTAAAATGAATATTTGAGATTCTTGCACAAAGAAAAAACTAAAATTCCACCAATTTGGTGCTAGATGGTTTTTATGTCCACACCTGCACAAAAATAGTCACCAAGTTTTGAAAACTACCAGGCATTATCAAACAAGGTTTTTCTGAAAGGTACCTATTTTGTGAAAATTTTGACCCAATTTGGGAAAATTAACAATCATATTAAAAAATCAACACAGTAATATGGATTTATCGTTTCTTACAAGATATAAAAATAAAATCTTAAGAAAAAGTATTGAATTTGTGAAGGTACTGCTAAACGGTAGTAAATTTGACCGGGAAAGACCCCTGATTATATCAGTAACAAACTTTTGTCATTTTGATTTAAAGAGCTAAGGATATTTCAGGAATTTCTGGAGAGTAGCACACAAAAAACTGAATAAAAAAAATTGCAGAAACAAACTATCTGGGGATATTTCCGTTTCTGTATGATTTGTCCGACGATGACAATGAGTTATAATCTTTGAGATTGACGCTTCTGGGATTTTTTTTTTTTTTTTTAGTTTCTCATGGGCTATTGCCTGGAAGCTGTCAAGAATTAGCAGTTATCCGGCCACAGATCATTACATGGAAATCTTCACAACCAACTCAGAGAATATAACTCGTAGTCTCCCCTAGGCAAACATCTACATATTCTTTTCATTTAAATTTTAATAAGTTTAAAACCCCTTTGGATATGGTAATTGTTGAGGCAAACAGTTACCAATCTAGGAAAATCTCCAAAATATTGAAAGTATCACTATTCTATTTCCAAGAGTTCTAAAAAAAATTGTTGAACCACCACTAGTGATGATAAATATTAAAATAGAGTATTGAAGATACCTATTATCACAATACCAGGTGCGAAAAAAAATTCTGATTTCAATGGCATTAATGATAGTTAGAGAATTTTTTTATGGCTTTAGCAGACAATTGTAAAGTGAAAATTGTACTGTGTATTGCTTATGCTTCATACAAAATAATTCTCTCTTTAGTCTTTCATATGGTATAAACTATTTCTGTCAAAAAAGTTACTAAATTCATTTTTATTTTTAATAGATACAAAACATATTATAGAGACAGGAAGTGATAGCAGTTCCCTATACGATAATAACCCCATATCCGACAATCATTACAAAATTTAACACAAAATGTTTATTTCATAGATTCAAATGTTTTTAAACGAATAAATTTTCCAATAAGAAATTTCATAATGGGGATAATTAAGTGTGAAACAAAAGAATGAAGTAAAAGATCATAATAAAAATAGGAGTATAAAAAATTTAGCATTTTTCTTTCGACTTAACACAGTACATTTATATCATAAATTTCTCAAAAACAACTTACAGCGGTGGAAGCCATTAGAACATCAAACTAAATAGTACTCATTCCTCAATCAAATTAAACTTTGTTTAGGCGACGTGTTTCAATCAAAATACATTACTCCTTTAACTTGCTCATTTGTTTATTTAATACTTGCATTTAGTACGTTCTCGACTACATATTTCTGCGTTATACGAAGCTTAAATTTTTTAATCAAAATAAAAAATCCATACAGTTAATGAAATTAGTACCTGAGCAAAACATGTTTTCGAAAAATTTATGGTTTCCAAAATTGAGAGTCAAGAGGAGCAAAAATAAGTAGCTATAAACGTTGAAGTATTCTGGATGAAGTATTCAAATTCATGGAATAAATTTTAAAAAAACTAATTTTACAGATCATAAACTAAAAGTTGTACTATTTTCTGGGAGGAAAAAATAAATTATTAATATTTCTAAATGCTAAAATACTGTATGTAAATAAACTTGTGTTAAACGCCCTTATTAAGTGCAGTTTCATACCCGATTTGATCATTTAATAATGGGACTCTTGAGTGATACCAAAAGTCGCAAGAAATTAACTGATGTTCTGATTCAACACTACGAAAAACTCATCAGTCTCAGTTTTATAATTGGAATAGTATGGTTTTGCTTATTAGCTAGTGATGTATTTAATAACAAAACGTACTTTTCAGAAAATGCTCTGTTACCTGGCCTTGTTGTGCGGGAATTCAATCCTCGATCATCGCTGTCACGGCGATTGGATGCTTTGAATGAAGAAAGCAAATTGAAGTCTCCATTTGTATGGATACAAGGACAGTTTCGTCAGTTAGGATTGGATGTTTATCAGAATAACTTTACTGTTCAGTATCCTTTTGGATCCCCCAAATCTTTATACAAAAATAAAAATTTCTATGCCATCTTGAGAGCACCCAAAGTTTCTAGCACAGAAGCTATAGTGATTTCAACTCCATATCGTGATAACGATAGCATTCACCCCAACTGCTTTGCATCCATAGCCTTGATGATTGAGCTAGCTCAAGCATTTAGGCAACAGACCTATTGGAGCAAGGACATCATATTTTTGATCACACAGTTTGAGAACATTGGTTTTCAAGCATGGTTGGATGCCTACCATAGTGTTCAAACGTCAGACTACATTAGAAGTGAAAAACTACCGAGCACCAGCGGGCCTCTTCAGGGAGTTATCAATCTGGAGATCAGCGATTATCATTTTTCTCATCTAGATGTCAAAATCGAAGGATTACACGGTCAGCTTCCAAACCTTGATTTCTTTAATTTAGTCATCGAGCTCTGCGCTCGAGAGCAGATTCCTACGACTTTTGAGGGCAGATTCAACCACTATTCTATTAAATCTGTCAATATGGAGGCTTGGTTAAACAATTTCCTCACAATGAGTAGCATGATGTCACTACAAGCGACTGGCTTACCGACAGGTGGACACGGTCTCTTTCATCGCTTCGGAATCCAAGCCTTGACCCTGAAATCCGTCGAGGAAAAGAAATCTGTTAATCTCGTTCAGCTGGGCCGTGTTGTCGAAGGCACCGTCAGAAGTCTAAATAACTTGCTCGAAAAATTCCATCAATCTTTTTTCTTTTACCTGTTGCCTAGCACGAGGTCGTATGTATCCATAGGCTTGTACATGCCTCCTTTTGCATTAATAGCAGTGCCTATTTTGCTGAAGGCTCTGTATTTGTATTTAAATGGTCATAAATCAGAATCATTGTCATGTAAATTTAATTATTGGATTGCATTAGATTCCTATATTTTTCACTTAATGTGTGGATTAATTATTTTTTTAGTTCCTAATTATATTCACCATGTAACACATTACTTTCACATTCCTACCTCTGATTTGATGTATTATACTCTATTAATACTCATGTCTGTTTGGTTGATATTTGCAAGCATTACAACACCAAAAGTAATGAGTCAGAAATTCGAATATAAAATGTGCTTTACATTGCTAATGCTTGGTGGATTTATGTTTACTCTAGCACTCGTAAATATATCTCTAGCTCTAGTGTTTACTATTCTCTATGTACCTATTAGCATCTCGCTTCAGTATAAAGGTAAATTGTCAGTTTTCCAATACCTAATTTTGCTTCTGATTCATCCATTTGTTTTTAGTTATCTGCTTATTGTTGCCCAGTCCTACATGCTGGATAGTAAGTTGTCCTGGTGGAGCCACTTTGTTCGTGGAGTAGATGGACATAAAAAAGTTGTCCTCTTCACTATGGAAGACATGTTACTTTTTGGAAACTGGAATTATAAAATTGTCTCCCTAATCATTCTTCCCCTGTGGCTAAACTTATGGTCATTGAAAAGCATGGCCTCTCGTGTGGAAAACTAAAAATGTATAAATCATTGAATTTGGGCCACTATCTTTTCAGCTAAAGAGATCTAGATACAAAGATTGTTTGATAGAATTTATGATTTTAAAATATTTAAAAAAAAAAATTTTAAATAACATTTGTGCTTCTTTTCTAGAAAAAATTACATTTTCACATTTACGGTAGAGCACAGTGAAAATGCTTAATTTTATGTGTGAAAAGAAGAGTATAAATGTAAAACATGGTGCGTAGCGTTTTTAAAAATTCCTAAAGGTGCTTATTTTCCATTTTCGTTTTTAAAAGCCCTAAAAGGTGCTTTTTCCATTGTTTTCAAAAAGTGCTTAATTTTCCCTTTTCGAAAGCTCACATTGTTCTATTCAACATTTTCACAATCCATTCAACCACTATCTATTTCTGCGTACCATTGGTCCATAGCTAAGAGAGCGCCAATCATTTTACATGTTTGATGAATTACTTGCGAGTCCGCATTTGCATTGACAGAGCTTGGTTCGGTGAGATTCTTGCACTCTCACTTGCAACTCTGCTGCATTTTGCAAGATATTTTCAGTTTCAGGCTTCATTTTCCACCCTCTGATATCAAACCGAAAAAAAATCTTGATAATATTATAGTGGCTAATATAATCAAGAAAAAGTTTTTTGTCAGAACCTAGTTATTTTATCATGATCATGTAAATTCTATGAAAATTATTTTGTTAATGTATTTAGTGCTTAAAAAGTGCTTATTTCTTGTTGAGAGATTTGGCTACGCACCCTGTTAAAGTATAAATTTCCCGATTATACATCATAGCCTATACCAAGGAATATTTCAATAGTGAAACTAATCTGAACACGGTTGATGTAGTAAGAGATCATGTAGTGGAAATTTTGTTGTTTTCAGTTATAATAAAACTTATTTAATTATAAAAAATTTTATAAATTTATATATTTACTTCAGATAAATTATTCTTGAACATTTGTAACATTCTCTGAAATTTGTATGAGAACTTTATTTTATTATCTTAAGAAGAATTTTTATAAGTGAATGAAAGAGACTAAATTGGTTTTCTATTTTTATGTAACTTTGTATACTGGGAGATTTCTGTATCCTGATCTGTGGCAGAATAATTAGCAACTTCTGGGCAGTGGCCAGCAAGAAACTAAAAAAAAATCATCACAGAAAAGGATAAACTCGAAAGATATAACTAGAAGCCACCCCCAGGCTAACATCTATATGTTTTTTTTAAAAAAATAAATTTGCAAGTTAAAAATCTATTTGGCACCTTGGCGATTGTAGTTAGCCTGACAGATCACGATACGGAAATACCCCCTTGTATGCGGGTGATTTTCAAATCTGAAACATTTTTGAAAATGAAATCATTTTAAAATTAAAATTGTTTATTTTGATGCTTAACTTGATTTTTGCTATATATTTAACTTGTTTTAATAGTCAGTTCTGTGGCAGAATTTTATCTGACGTTCTATGATGAATCTCCCTAATGATCTGTGTGCAAGATATTTTTAATAGAAATTAACATATTTGTAACCAATTTTTAACGAAAGTGCCTTTTGTTTATGAAAAAATGCCTACATATAGGATAAAACTGAATATAATTTTTTTTAATAGTAAAAGTAGTTTTTCCCCTCAATATATAAAAGAATGTGAATTGTAATATTAGGGGCAACATTCTCTTATTTTAAAGGGGGGAAAACACTAATTCCTTCCTTTTTCCACATTTTGAAAATCATCATGACATTAATTTTTAAAAAAGACACATTTTTAAAAAATGTGAAATCAGTGGCAGTATCTGCTGCAAAAAAAAAAAAGGTCGAAGACAAAATCACATGGATTTGCAACAAACTCATGCAAATCGGTCTCTTCACAATAGTATTACTCAGTGTGTTTCAAGGTTCACATTGTTAAAATAAATAATATGTTGCAATATCAGATTTTAACAACTATATGGAAATCAATAATAATTATGTCCATTATATCAACTGAGAAGAAAAGAAAAAAGAAAATATTCAAATGCATTATTCGAATTCCCTATATTGTGTGAAACATATAGTGATTTTCAAAAATGATTAGCACCATATGGATTTATAATGGGACTGTGTGCTATAAAGTGGTTATTTAGATGCGTGATTTGAAATTTTCATGCTAAATATCATAATAAAAATATTAAAATAATATTATTACAACCAAATAAAAAAAGGTAAAATTGATATAAAAATATTATTTAACTCAGATCTGAATTTGCAACAAAATCTCAGTAAAGTCATATTTAATTAAAATAAAAAAAAACGGTGTTCTTTTTAAAATGAAAAAAGATTACAATTTCTTGAGCGAACAATCTTTTAAATGTATGATCATGATTTCAGAAATATTTTCCAGATCATAAATTTCAAATTCTAGTATAGCCATCTCAACTCTTGCAGATCAGCGCTTAAAAAAAATCATTGCTTGAGAACGAGAGGTAAAACTTAAAAAGAAAGGACTTGCTTTTAATCCTTTCAAGTCTAGTTTTTTTTTTTTTTTTTTCCTTTTCCAATAAAGAGACAAATTACGTCATTAATCGATCAAATAAGGTAAAAATAGCAATCTATCTCTAGCAGCTCATATATGAAACATACATCTTCATTATGATGAGCCAGTATCTTAATCTTCTGTTATTGCAACACAAACTAGACAATAAAAACATTAATATTTAGATTTAAAGTAAAAAAAGTTTTAAAGCAGGAAATTTTCTGGGTACTTAAAAGGTTTTTATCCTACACACAGCCTAGACCGATTAATTGGCCATGCACTGTCTTGCTGTCCGATAAAGATGTGAAGAACCAAAAGGGAAAGTATGCCCATTGCCAATATCTTACAATTTGGTAAACACAAAGGGGTGTTATTCATTCATGGGACTACCCCTACATTCAGGGCATGAGACAAAAGCTGCTATGCTGTAACCATGACTTGTCAATAGGCGATACCTATCTTCTAATTATAGGGTAATTACCTATCTTCTAATTTAGGAGGAATGATATTTTTATTTCGTATAAAAATATAATTCCTAACTTTTTGTGGCTGTATACAACTATAATAAAATTTTCTTTAAATTTTTAATTGTGTCTTGATTAGTGCTCAATTTCTCATGGGGGAGAAGAAAGTTGAGTTGTAGAAAACGCAGAGCTGATTTGACTAGTGAATCTGCTTGCTCATTACCAGGAATTCCCGCATTGCTTGGGATCTGTTAGGTAATCGTTTTTTCATTTTATAGGGACCATGTATGGCTGACTGCTTTTCTAAATTGTCAAAAACATGAACATAGGTTCCTATAACCAATAGGTTCTAAATATAATATAGAGATGCATTTCAAAAAAAATATCAAAATTTAATAATTTATTTTCAGACATTTTCTTCCCTTCGGTGGATCAATAAAAAGAGTACCAAGCATGCTTGGGAACTAAACACTGGGAATTGTGTGTTGGGCTGATGTCCCAACCAGAACATTTGCTCTTGCAGAGCCCAAAGGTCAAGAAAACTGAGATGGGCACCGTAAGCCTTGGCCCTGTATAGGTTGTAGCTCCACTGAGTTTAATTTATATAGTTTTTGCTGAAAGTAAGATTTTTCAATGCATATACTCATTTATATAAATGCATTTTGAAAAAATCTATATGTCCTGGAAATTACAGTAAATATGTAGTATTCAGTTTTTAATCTAACTGTTAGCAGATATCTTAAACTACTGGCAGTTTAGCAAAAGATCAAGATTGGGAGAATGTTTCTCCCAAATACACCATTTCCTTATCTAATAACACAGAAAAACCAGTTTTGCTGTGCAGAGAAGACTGCAGGTTAAAATATGACTCTGTGCAGAACCATCAATGGGTTAAAGATGATTCTTTTAATTATCTACTATGCTTTCATAAAAGAAAGAAGAAGAAAAATTTGTATTAACTGTTTTAAATGTAATAAGAATAATTAGTATTTTGTTTATATTTCTTGATCAATAAAATTACCTAGAATAGAATGTTTTTTTTATTACATTTTCCGAAGCCTCGTTTTACAGTCATTAGAAACACCAGCAGTTAACATGCTCACCAAAAATGTATTCATTTACCAGATAAAAATGTTGCAAAGGTTTTCCTTCCTTCGTCTTTGTTTTTAATTCTACGAATCCTTTGAGCAACTTGTCCTTTAATATCCTAAGAACTTAATTTCTTTGTTCTAGTGTTTTCTTTGTTTAAAATACAGTAGAACCTCATTAACGTTTACACCTTTAACGTGAATTAATTCTTGATTACCCATCAAATTGTTTCTGGATATAATGCTTTAAAATACTTTAAACGTAAATATACTTAAAGTGAAATGTCTTTTAAAGTGAACTCAAATTTCTTAACCTTTGGAAAGATTTTTACTTTTAATGAAGATTTATTTTTGTACTCTAATATGAGTAGAGTTTTCTTTCAACTCATTGGAAAGTGCCTTATTGATGTCAATGCAAAGAAGTATGTTCAATATGGGTGGTTATTTCTCAATATAGTGAATGTGTGGAGCAATTGAATTATTTGATTAGTGTGTGGTCAGCACTTTTTTGTACAAAATGAACTGCAAAGTACGGCAATCATTAATGTTAGAAAAAAAATTTGGAAATTTTGAATGAAATTAATGACCTAGTAAATTTTAAAAAAAAAGACTTAAATAACTCTAAAATACAGAGTTGCCAAAAGGTTATTCAAAATAGGTAGTATAATATTAAAGCAGCTTGGAGTATTAAAAAATATGAACCATACAGAAAATGTATGCTAGTGACAAAGAATAAAGAAATGGAAGAGGCTTTATTTCGATGGTTTAAAGTAGCACCAAAATCTCATTCTTTCTAACTCCATTCTACTCGAGAAGGCAAACTATTTCGCAGCTGCTTCAAGTATAAATGACAACCTATTCTTTAGGATGGCTGAAAAGATTTAAAGATAGGCATGACATAATTAATGATTTGAAGATAAATAATTTCAAAAAGAAACGTTAAATATTTAAACAGTTTATAAATGCAATTTGGTTTGTATTTATTTTTGAACTATTTAATGTAGCATTTTTAAAGAAATAAAAATTATAAGCAGAAAAACAGTAGAAATTTTTTTTTTTTTTATGATTTCTAAATTTTTCCCTATTTTATGTTAAAGAATATGTTTTATAATTTGTCTATAGAACAGTATAAAGAACTATTAAAATAACATAATCAAATTTTATTAATTAACTATAAATTAAAAAAGTTACCTACTAAACATAGATACTTCCAAAAACAAATATTGAATTGTCAATTTCAAATAGTATACTAATTTTTATACTCAAATTATGAGTAAGCAAACTGACTCAAACAATATGATATATAGGTTTTAAAATTCTCAATAAAACTAATACATAAAAAATATTTTTAAAAAAAAGTAAATGTGATAAACTTTAAGCTTTCTGTTACCATATTAAATTAAATTCATTTAAATTTAAGGTATTCTTTTAATACTTATTGTTAAACAACTGTATTAGTTATTTTTTAATTTCCTCCACTGTCCTGACAAAATGCCATTGCCATTTAACATTGATATTTTTGTGGAAAACCATTTCTACATAAACATTTAAAAATTGCTTATTTATGGTTTTTTTTAAATAATGTAAATTCCCATTAGCAATTAAACACAAAATTGTAAAATATGCAAGAAAACTTTTTTTTACTTCTGTTGAATTCACACTGGAAAAATTTATATAAATAATCAAAAACTAGGAGGCTTCGCCCCCTGCTCGCTCGCGCTCGCCAACCCCCGAAACTGCTTTCGCAGTTCATTTCGGATTGCTTCGCAATCTGATGCTCGCTCATTGGATACATTGGTGCATTTCAATATTAATTAGAAATTGCAAACAGTTCGCATATTTTTCTTAATCACACTATTCTAAATTTCAGTTGTTGAGAAAAGTAACTGTTGTAAGTTTTGTTTTAAAGTCTTCAATAATTTTGTGAGAATTTTCTTGATAATTCGGTGATAATTCATCCGATTAGACACATAATGCTCACTATGTGCTCTTGCGCGCCAAAGCCTATCAATTAAAACATATTAGCGTTTTATATAATATAGATTAGCCATATGATGCTCACTACGTGCTCTTGCGCGCCGAATCCTATCAATTAAAAATGAAAGCTGTTGCCAACGCAAGAAAAGAAATATCATCGGTTTTATTGATGCATAGGTACGTATTAGCGTTTTATTTAAAAATTGATTTTGTTTAAAAAACAAAGAAGAATAAACTCGTTTAACAAACCCTGGATCACTCTTAATTATTAAGATTAGCATTTAAGTTTTTTATTATTTAAGTTTATATTAGTAGTAAAATAGTAGATTAGAATAATCACTATGTTATTTAGAATAGAATACTAAACTCAGTGGCACGACAGCCCATAGAGGGCCAAGGCCTACTGTACCCATCTCAGTTTTCTTGACCTTGGGCTATGGAATGCAGGAGCAAATGTTCCGGTTAGGTGGTCAGCGGAACCCTCAGTGTTTAGTTCCCAAGCATGCTTGGTACTCATTTATCGACCCACGGAAGGGATGAAATGCTGGCTCAACCTTGCCCGGCACGGGAGCGCGAAGTGCTACTCACTCCACTCAGCCACCGGGCGTCAGGATAGAATACAGAACTATAAAAAAAATTTAAAACTTAATTTATATTTTTAAATTTTAGCTCATGGTTTGTACAGTAGCTGATTAAAGTCAAATAAAAATGCACAATTTAAGTCTAAGTAATTATTAAGCACAAATTAAGTCAATTTAAGTCTTTTTCTGAAATCAAAATTAAGCTAATTTTACAAAAAAAGATTTAAAATGAAATTATTATTTTTAAGAAAATAGGATCTATTCAAAAAACTTTGTTAACGAAATACAAACTTAATTTAAACTAATATGATATGTCATTTTTTAAATTAGATATTTTATCTAAATAAACAATACATTTTAACCTAAAAATTAGAATCTAAATTTATAAAATTAATTTATTTATTTAGAATTTGTAACATGACCTGTTTTAATGCTCAGTTTGGATATATTTCGTACATCTTAAATTTATTCACTATAGCAAACATGGGTCACTTAAATTTCACATAGTTATATCCTTTGTCTTGAAAAGGCCTTTCTTTCAGAATACTCAACTCTTACTTTAAATTAGTTTAATTTGAAATAGTTACGGGAATACTTTACCTATATATAAATATTTTAATGTAATTTTTTTTAATTTTACGTAAAAAATGTTTTTAAAATATAATTCTTAGGGTAATAATAATTTTTAGAAATATTCCTGTAAAATTTAAAGTTGCAAGTTGATTTGCGTAAAGGAAAGACATTTATAATAATCAAAACAAATTATGGTTATAAGTTTTAAAAAAAGACTGAAAACTATAAATATAATGATCTTGGGTCATGGATAAATAAACATTTTAACTACTGCAGTAACTTTATATTTCTCTGATTCACACCTATAGGTGGGAGATATACTATCCTAAAATTTCGTATATGTGTGGCATCTTTCTAATTGAATAGTCACACAGCTTAGAAAAATTAAATGACTTGGAGCAATAAAATGATAAGCCACATTTTCAAGGCAAGTAAAAGTGATTTTTGACCATAAAAGCTTTTACCTAGTGAAAACTTGTAATATACCTATATAGAAACAAAACTAAGGAACAGTTTGATATAAAAATAAATTTCACCTCTGGGGAAAGTTTAGCTCATGCCTATAGGAATTAATTTATGATTTGAGAACGTGTTTATCTCCAAATAATCTTAAATTGACTAAATTTATCATCCATATTATTATAAATTGTCTAAGCAAGATTATCTTAAAGTAACCATATTATGGATTTAGAAAATAATAATTTAAATCTATTTCTGAAATTTGAACAAACATCAGAAGCTCACCTTTTAAAAGAACAATATATTTTTAAAGCTTATCAATATTCTAATACAGTGATTTCAAAAGTCTTTTACTTAATTGAATAGGTCAAAATGATAGAAACTAACTGAGATGACAGTTTTAGCCAGTAGGATTTTAAAGAAATTGCATCAGCCTTGATTTATTCTAAATCAGGTTATCAAAATTTTTCTCTTTTTTTCAAAGTGATAGCCCAAACTCTAAGAACATACTTGTCCTTTAAAAAAAAATATAAACTTTTAAGCAAATGTATTCATATTTATTTAATTATTCACTAAATAAAATTTGCATGTTTTTTTACATTATTTACATATTTCATTTCAATTTTAACATTCATAATACACATAAAAAGAAATTTAACACTCTTGCATTATTACTGTCATTAGAAATTACTAAATACAAGAGAAGCATTAGTTCCTCCAAATCCAAAAGAATTTGTTAAGGCAATTCTTTTTTCTTTCACCTGATGTGGCCAAGTCTCACAATGATTGCCCGCAACGTTGACAGGCCATTCAGAATCTAAACATTTCAAATTAATATTTGGTGGTATAGATTCAGAATAGCAAGCTAAAATTGTAAATATCGCTTCAACACTGCCTGCAGCACCCAATAAATGTCCAGTAGCTCCTTTGGTGCTAGAAACAGTTAAGATTTCCGAGTGTTCTTTGAATAATTCATGGATGGCTTTGAGTTCAATTGAATCACCTAAAGGAGTTGATGTGGCATGGGCATTGATGTAACCTATCTGTGATGTGTCAATGTTACTGAGTGATAAAGCTTGCCTCATACTGCGGAATGCTCCATTACCTGGTGATGTTATGTGATAAGCATCTCCTGATAATCCATATCCTAATATTTCAGCATAAATCTTGGCACCTCTCTCGATGGCATGATCGAGCGACTCCAGCACGAGTATGCCGGCACCCTCTCCCATAACGAAACCGTCTCTCTCGGAGTCGAAAGGCCTTGATGCCTCTTCTGGCTTAGAGTTGAAATGGGTGGAAAGTGCTCTCATACGACAAAAGCCGGCGATCGATAAAGGACTAATGACAGCTTCTGAACTACCGCAGACCATTACGGATGCATACTTATTTTTTATGAAATTGTATGCATCCCCAATGGCGTGAAGACCAGTGGCACATGCCGTGGACACAGAATGATTAGGACCTTTAAAGCCATATTTAATAGCAATATGCCCAGCTGGCATGTTTGATAATATTCTTGGTACAAAAAATGGAGATATTTTGCTATATCCACTATGATGTAATTTGTTCCCAGTTGTTACAATATCCATTAAATCAACCATACCCGTTCCAACTGCTACTCCTGTTTTCTCTAATGCATCTGTTGAAACAGGACACCATTTGGCATCTTTCAGTGCTTCGTTAGCAGCAATCAAAGCGTAGATTGAAGTCAAAGACATCTTTTTAAAATCTGCATCTTCTAAATGTCTGTCGAGACATCCAGGGTCATTACCCCTTTGCACAAATGCCGCTACTTTGCAAGGAATATCTTTATAATCGTCTCCAAGAAGTGGAACAGTTCCCGTTTTTCCATCTAATAGCCTTTGCCACACATGATGAACTCCAACACCTAAAGGTGAAACTATTCCCAATCCTGTGACAACAACTCTTTGACCACTGAAATAATTAATATAAGTATAAAATATGTTTATTTTTTTTAATAAACATCTTGAAATCTTCGAACTTAATAGTTGGCCGAGCATGCTTTGAAATTTTTTTATTTATTTAGACACATAAAAGAATTTTTCTTCAAGCATTTCTTCTTGAATATCAATTTATCATGTAACGTAATTGAAGATTCAAATTAAATAAACACAATTCGTAATTAATAAACAGATTCTATATTATTTCGAAACAATCACATAAAATTAAATGTATACCGAACTGTTTTGTAATTATTAATCTTTGCAAAAAATACCGCACAGTTTTGTAATTAATAATTAAAAGTTGTAAATAAAATTTTCTTACAAATTAATCTCTAAGATTGAATGAAACATACGTAATTCCGTATTTCTACGAAAGTTATCAGACATGAAACGAACTTTTTTATTTTTGAATTCAATCCAATTTGCACATTGAATTTTTTGTAACTGTTTGAAATTTTCAACTTTCCAGCAGATTTAATCGCTTTAGGGTACCATTACGAAATTTTTGTTTGGAGCAATAAGAAGTTGAAACTAAAACTAGCATTTGTTCGGTAGACCTTTATTGTTTAAACCTAACTTTCAGGAAACAAATAAGGACGTTGCTAAACAGCCGCTGTTAATAATTAAGTAGATAAATCTCATTGGTTGATATTATCATCGATATACTAGTTTCCTGATTTAATAAAAGTTTTAGTGTACTGATAAATAAAAATTTTATTAACTAGTTAAAATGTCCTGACGTGTTTCGAAAATGCTGCTCTTGGCGAAAAAGTACGTGTTGCATTAAACTTGGAGTTCTTATTCATGTCTGATTTAGAAAGACGATAACCGGCAAATCTTGGCGTAAGAATAACCTTTCTTTACCCAATTTTAGATTTGTAGGGTTAACGTAATGAAACGGCGGCTGCCAAGGTATCCCCCTCCATAAAAAGATTCCGTATTTTTCAGTTAATGAAATCATTCTAACCGTAACTAGTAACCATAACAACCATAAGATCAATCCGAATAAATGAACAACAAAAGAAAAGAAATCAGACAAAATCACTATGATATTTTTTCATGCAATCGTGTGAACTGAAGTTTTTAATTATTTTTGATAGAAATCATCTGTTGTTATCCATGAAAACAAGAAACTCTCCGCTCTAGTCATACAACATAATTTACGTTTTTGTTTCATGTTATTGTGTTATGTTATTGCAACCATCCATAAAAATAGATTTGAATAAAAAATATTTTTTTAGTATAGAAATATATGTGGAACATTAATCTTCTTTTAACATAAAAATTGACAACAACCCTCATTAGAAAATGAATAGTATTCGAACTGCTGCTCGCAAAATGACAGCAGTTATGTTTCCTGATATTAAAATCTCTTATACTAAAAACATTTTTTTACAATCAGGTACATATTAATTGCTAAATAAGTATGTATATATTATTAAATATGCAGGCATATATAATTATTAAGGAACAGTAACAATAAAATTTTAAAATTATTCATTTCGGGGAATTGTAAAAAACCTAATTTCATAGTATACCTAACACACTTATATTGGTGTATTAGGTACCAATTACTACGGTGATATAATTGGGTAAACTCGCACTTAAGTGCAGAAATAATGAATACTTTTCTTTACCTTGTTCACTTGTGCTGCTTTCAATTTCTGTTCTTCAATGCTTTAGATGTACCTGGTGACTTACTCAATACGTTAAGGCATGAATGATTCATTAAAATGTTCTGATTGCCTTTTGAAATATGAGTTTATTTTTAAATAAACACAATTGGTTATAAGTTAGTAATTTTATTAAGATGGAGGATAGTTGAGTAGTAAAGTAAAACTTATTAAAAGTTATACTATACATATGCGCAATCCAGTGGCTAAAATAATAAACATTGAATTGGAAAATCACTCAGAAAATATCTATTTCACAACAGCTTTCCTTAATCTTACAATTCAATTAAAGCTTAGCTGTGATGGCTCAGGTGATAGAGCTCTCCTCTTTCAATGAGGTGAACCGGGTTCAAATCCCAGCCATGACTGGTCAATTTCAATTCTGCACCCGACTTGCAGTGACCACAGTGCTGACGTAAAAATCCTTAGTGGTTGATGGATCATGGGTTAGAATCCCCTTGCCATCAGACTAACTATGAGAAGTTTTGTGAATTTCCTCTCCATGTAACGCAAGTGCGGGGTAGTTTTATCCAAAAGCCTGTCACAAAGGCAAAATTCTCCCAATACTTGATCCAGGAGTTCCCTTGTCTTCCGGATTGGATACAAGGTTACTGAGTTAAACATTGGTACTCGTAAACCCAAAATTGGGTTGACCGTTCAACGTCGGTTATAAAATAAAATTCAATTAAAGTTTAGGTAGTAATTTTTAATGCATTTCTAAAGTTTAAAAACTTTGGTTTAAGAAGTGGTTCTGTGAGAAAGTCTAATCATGTTTTTAGATTTTCAATATTTAATCTTAATTATATTATCATATTGTAACTTTCTTAAACAATGCTACTTTATATTGATATGTTTTATACGTGATTATATATCTATGTTATGATATGTTTATTGAGTGTCAGTTTTACCAGTTACAGAATGCAAGATTTGTTATCCTCATTAAGTTTTATGGGTATTATTTGCTTTTGTCTAAGATCTGCAAGTAAATGTAGTAACCACTACAATGTCCTTGGGTTGCTACAATGTATTCTATAGTGGAGTGTACTATAGAGTTCTGTATCTAAGAAAAAGTGGTCTCCAGGGAAGAACATGTTTCCACTGATTGAAGGTCTTGTTGTTTGCCTGGTCTACATCTGAATAGCATGTCAGAATCAGTGGACTATATGCACTGATGAGTGTGAGGTACAAGTTCTTGGTTGAATGAAAGTATGCTATTAATTTCAGAACTGTCCAATATTTTTCTGTTGGTGCTTTGCTCTTTCTAAGTCTATTTACGGGCATGGAGTTGTCAGGTTTGTGATGGTAGCTATATAGAGTAAAAAGTCTATAGATTTTCTGTACTTGGTGTTATCACTTAATAGTACAGCTGTATCATCTTTCTTTAGGTATGATGTATCTATAGGAGTGTTAGTTGGTTCAGCATTTTTTATACCAAATATTTCAGTCAGTTCTTCAATTTTAGCTATTATAATTGAGCTTAAGATCACTATTTCTGTTTTGATTCATGTTCATTCCGAGAAAAATCTTTACATCACCCAGGTTTTTGATTTCACATTTTTCTTGAAGAATATTTCTAACTTTGTTGATTTCTTTGTGCGAAATGAAGATATTATGCAGCTAGGGAATCATCTAAATTTGTTTACTGTTACTTCTTTTCATAAACAAACCACAGTCGGCTAAGCTTTGCAGCAATTCCTTTTTCCACCATAGATTTGCCTTTTTGGCGTTCCATTCTTTAGATGTTTGCTTCAAGCCATATAATTAAATTTACCAACTTTGTCTTAATGTCTGAGTTTAATTAATCATTCTAGTGGATGCATCTATAGATCTTCTTTAATATTTCAATGCAAAAAAAAGCTTTTTTTATATCAACATGTTGGACATGCATATTTTTATAAGCTTCCATTGCTGGAAAAAAGTTTTACTGTGGTATATTTCTTTAGTGAGGTGAATGTCTAATCATAGCATCTGTATTTTTGGCTGTATCCCTTAGCGACTCGTCTAGCTTTGTATCTTTCTATTTGACTTATATTGGTTTAATTTAACTTTAAATGTCCCTTTTGGAAAATCAATTGAATCCCAAGTGTTATTATTATTTTTTTTTTAGAGAGTGGCTCTTTTCTTTAATAGCTTTGGTCCATTTTTTCTTTTCTTCAGGATCAAAATTCTCAAGCTCTTTGAAACAAGTGGGTTCCATCTTTACACCATCTGTGAGACATACCACCATTCAGATAGTTTTTCTTTGTTAATTCTGTTTGATCTTCTTAATTGTTGAGTGTTTGCTTTACTTATTTTGCTTGTAGCTTTATGATTTACTTCTTGTTCTTTGTCGGCAATTTCTTTTACTTCATTATCAAATATGTTGTCATGTCAAATAGATATGATTAGTATTTCATCTGACTTATTAGAATCTTCAATAAATGAACAGTTCTGCTTATAATAATGTTTGTATCTCAAATATATATAGGATATCCTTTTCTTCTTTGATCATAGCCCACGAATATTCCTTCAACTGCTTTTTCATCCAATATACCCCTTTTACTTTAATGAATGTGGACAAAGGCTTTCACCCAAATGCTCCAATATTTGAAAGATTAAGTTTGTGGTCTGTCCAAAGTTCATAAAGAGTTTTTAATGTTGCTTTGGTTGATTTTGGAGATAGTTAGCTGTAATCATCCTTTCTGCTCGAAATCTTTGTGGTAAGTTAGCAATGGATAAAATACATCCCGTCCTTTTGACCAAGCTTTTAGTTTTCCTCTGATACTCCGTTTTTAAGGGCTTGAAAATGTAACAGTTTATTGGTGTTTTGAATAAAGAAATTCAAGCATGTTATTTTTAATGCAATGAGCATAATTTTTTACTTGATGACTACAATCTATATTAAAATCATCATTAAGACTGTTTTCCACTAATTGTTTTACAGCTCCACTATTTCTATGACCAAATCTTTTATGTCGTTAAGTTATACAAGTATTATTGTTGCATTTATTGTCAGAATGAATAAGAAATTAGAATATAAATTTAATAATTAAATTTTTAGTTAATAAAAACAATTGGACACATTTTTTTAGTGATGTATGCTATATATTTATTCTAAATAGTTTAACATTATATTTATTTCAACATTTTACTTACAAACTTTTTTGTTACAAAAGTGTTTCATAGTTTTCCATACAATCTCACAAAGAGTTTAGGTTAGCTTTTAAAAGTATTTTACATATTCAGCTTTTAAAAGTACAGTCATAACCTTAGTATTATAGGCAAGGGTCTACAAAAATGCAAAGTTTTGAGCTAACAGGATAAATTTTTGTAAGAGCTAGTATCTTATGAAATAGTATCTTATAAGTGTAACAGCTTTTATTTATTTTTTATTTTACTAAAATGGCTGCCTATGATATTTTAGGAAATGTGACGGCAGGGTTTGTTAACCCCTGATTATAATCATAAAAAAGTAATAAACATAAGTATTAATCTAGTAAGTCTTTAAAGTTCCTGATGAAGATTTGTAATAAACTGATGGTAATAATAAAGGAACTTACAATAATCAGTTCAATGTAGAACAAATAACGGAGCAAAACAAACATGTTCAGTGTAGAATTTCTAATAGTGTATAATATGTAACAGTATAAAATATGTAGTAGTGCAGAACATGTTCAGTGTAGTACATGTAAATTATTCTAACGAGTAGAGATGGGTTCTTATCTGATGTTTTGTCTTTTAAAAGTTACCTATGGCGTCATGAAATTAATGAAGAAATTTATAGTATCAGGTTTTAAAATAAGTTTAATATTTGTAATCTCTAAAACTTTTAGAAAATACAAATGAACTTATATTTAGATAATTTTACCTCTGGATGGAAGCACCATTTAAAAAACTGTTTCTGGTGTAAGTATAACTAACTATGTTGCATAATATTTTACCACTTTTCTGTATTCGTTTGCAAGGGACCTTTTTTATGGGTTTGCTTTTCCCACTGTGGAAAAAACTTTCTATACCTGCTTTATCAATTTATAAAACAATTTAATACTGACAAAAGAGAACAATCAAATTACTATTAATTGATACAAAATCTGTATACATTAGTATTTGCCCTTTGTGAAAAAGTTTTACACCCTAAGAATAAAATAAGTAACTAAAAATATGAAAAAAGATACAAAAAGGGCACTAAATTTTATTAGAAAGCTCTTTTCTTAATATTCTTGTTTCTTTGGAGTTATTCAATCCATTTCTTTTAGTTTTGACCTTATAAAGGAATATTTAAAAATGATAAATGTGTATTTATTACAGAGGAAATATTGTCAAGTTTGCCTCTACAGATGTGCCTGCATTATAACTGTACCTATTCCACATTTTGGATGTTAACTCGTGTAGGATGTCTTTTTTACAAGGTTCTTATTTTTCTTTTAAATTTTAATGTTCACATTGCTACCAAACATGCAGATCTTTATTAAGTTTCTTGTATTAAATGATCTGTTATAGACTAAAGGAATGAAACATTTTCAATTACAAGACAACTGTTAATACATAACTGTTAAAACACTGATAGTTAAAACTGTTTTCATTTAATATACTGTCGTTTTTTTAAGTATCCTATGTTTAATAGAAACTATATTTTAAAAATGCTATTGAAAATTTAATTAATTATAATTCATGATTATTATAGATAATATATTATAATAATAATATAATCCATAATAATTATAGTTTATAATCAGCAGCTGTCTCCATTTCATAGTAAAGTTTTACGTAATCATTCTATATCTAAACAGCCAATCCAAATTTCTTTTAGAAAATTTTTTAATATTTATTTTAATAAAAAATAAAAATGTTTTTATTTTTATAGGAGCACAATAAAGTTCCTTTAACTATATCTTTTAAAAAAAATATTTGTATGACAGAAAATTAATCTATTCTTATCTTAATATACATTAATGTTATAATATCCGGCCAGGTAAAAGATTTCAATTTTCACCAGCTACCTGGACTCCATACATCTCTAATCTAGTGTTTCCTAACTTTCTTAATAATCTGCTTGATAACCTGCAAAGAATTTATTATCTGTTTAATTATTGATTATATATCTGTTTTTTTTTCTTCCAATTTCTAGTAAAAAAATTTATTTTATTGCAGTTTGCTTATCATACCCAACTTTATAAGGTTTTGATTTCAATTGTAATAACTCTCATGACAGTTGTAGAAATTTTGAGGCTATATCTCGGAATTGTTGGAAATCTAAAAGAAAAGGTAAAATTTAATGTTTGTTTATATTTTCTAATATTGTATTTTGTAACAGTCATTAAATTCTAAAGCTTTAAAATCTTATTTCTGAATGAGTGCACCTGTTAAAATATCAAAAAGTGAAAATAAAATCATTAAGTTCCACCCTTATTGCAAATGAAAAATTCCATCTATGAGTAATTCCACTATTTACAGTTGTCATTTTAGGCAATTTTAAAAGCACATAATTTAGTTCAAAAAAATTCGAAGGTCTAATAAATTTTGTGAAAATAAGTCTTGGTGTCATTTACACCTATGCTCCAATTTTTAAGGCATTAAATGTTTGTTTTTTTAATAAAACAGTAGCTGTTGCGGATATAACATAGTTCCATTCATAATACCTAGCCTTGAATATCTTAAATTTATGAAAGCTTCAAAAAATTGGAGTAAGTTTAAAAGACACCAAGACTTAATTTCATAATTTTTTATTAGAACCGAGCTATATGCTTTTAATGTATGCAAATTTGACATAAATGGTGAAATTGTGTATTCCAATGTAAGGGAGGAATCTAAAATGTTTTCTTGTTTCTAAAAGTTAACTTGGTATGCAAAAAGTTTTGGATCATTGATAAATATTCCATATTGTCATAGGATTAATAAGAAGTAGTTTACGAAGTTATAAGAAGTCATAAGTTTTCAAAGTTATAACAAGTGAATGTTACCGTCTATGGCTGATAGCCAAAGTGTACCGAAAAAAATACCTGTTGAGTCAACATGAAGGGCATCAATGAGATAACTTTATATAAAGAATCTCAAAATTATATATACTGCTTCCTCATTTTTAAACCTAGATTTAACTATTTAAAATGACAATTGTATTTAAATTAATGTTGAATAAACATATATTTTGTGAAATAATTAGCTTTTCCAGAATGATATGAATTATGATAGGCACTTTTGCAAAATTATTTGTTATTATAAAATGAAACATTTGTTTTCTTCCTAAGAAGTTGATTTTGCTAATGTGTTTTTGTCTGTTTTTCAGTAAATACATCTTTATTATCAGTGAATGATATTAAAAAAAAAAAAATCTTTTCAGGTTCCAGAATTGGCAGGTTTTTGGATGCTCACTTTGTTTTTGCAGCTTCCTCTACAGCTATTATACACATTCAGCACATATTTTCAAACATTAACCATTGAAAGAGCTACAGATTCCATTTTGATTTTATTTCTTATTTTAGAAGTAGCTATTGGCTATTTTACTGTCAAAGCAATAACTAGTCAGCAGGCACTAAAATTTAAATTTATTCTTATGAAAGATCAAACAGCAAGTCAAGAAACATTTTTAAGTTTGTGATCTCTCCTTAATATATCGCTTATAAGTAAAAAGCTTCAAAATTTTTAAATTTAAAAATTTAGTATATTTTAATTTTAGTTCATTAATTAGAATATAATGGCACTGTTTCTTGTAAAAAGTCAAATATTTTTCTTTTGACTTATAATTGGTCAAATGAATCAAAATAAGTCATCAGTAAAATTAAAATTGCTGAATATTTTAAATTTTAAGAAAAACATTAATTTATCAAAGATTAAGTACAAAATGGTAGAAAAGCTGTCAAAACATGGTCTTTCAGACAGAAGTTTCTTCATTATATTGATTGTGCAAGCAAAAAATTTTGTTTTTAACAATGAGGAACAAGTTGTTATACTATTACCATAACTCACTAGGATTGAAATGTTCTCCAATTTAGTAATTAGATAAAAAGTACTTTGAAAGTTATTTTTTAAAGCTCAGTACAAAATTCTTATGAATGTGATATGAACTAATAGTGGCTTTATATGAACTAAATGAAAATTTAAGAAATTATTTTTGTTGCTTTAAAAAGGATTTTTTTTTTGTGTATATTTTTTTGACTAATTCTTAATAAAATATAGAAGTTTTTATTTCAAAAATGTATTATTAGTGAAAATAAATATTTTCGTATTCAACTTGTGCATATATAACATTAGATATGACATGATTACTTGAGATATATCATTGAAAAAAGCGATACATGTTTTAATTAAAACTCACTATCCTTATAGCTTATAGAAATTAGGTATATACAGAAAACTCTATATTAACCATAAAATTGGATGAACAATCCATCTACAAGATGGAACAATGTAATTTGATTGTAGTTTCATTCAAAGAGAAATCTGTAAAAATATTTAAATACTTAGTAATTAACTAGCTTGGTTGCTCTTATAAATTCCCTGCTTCTCACTTCTTTATTTGAAAAATTCGGTAGAATAACATTTCAATAAATAAAAAATTCAAGCAAAACTCTTTAAAATTCTCAATTTTAACTCATAAAATTAAGAGAACTTGAAAACGTGAGATTGTTCAAAGCTAAAGAACCAGAGATTAAACCTCTTTTACAGACAAAGTCAAAGCCTGATTTCATGCAGCAGTTAAAAAAGATAAATCGATCAGCAGATTTAAATAAATGAAATAAAATCATTTCTAACATCAAGACAAAAAAGTACATAAATTACATAATTTAAGTGTCAAATAAATCAACAGAAAATTTATTTTCTTATTAAGTTTAAATTACATACCAATGTAACTATCAATATTTCATACACATCTGCATATATTAAAATCGTTCATCTCAAATCTAAACTTTTTTGTGGCATTTTCAATGTTTACACAATATAGTGTTTCCTCAGTTCATTTTGCTCAACCTATTTGACTGAAAAAATATGACAAAATTTTAACAATGAATGTATTTAATTAAAGGGAGAATCAAAGAAATATTTGAGCTACATGTAAATTTCTAGCTAAAACCAGAAGCTTTTCCAGTAAATGATGAGTTTTACATGTTTTTAAAATATTAACAATAAATCTCTACATTAATTTAACAACACTTAAGTCATGTGTGAAACACATTTACACATGACTTAAGTGTTGACCAGCTCAGAAAAAGAAATACACCTATTATTTTAGTGCTATGTATGTTTGGTGCATTACCCCTTCTCCTGACCAATCTTGACCTTGTTTATTTATTTATTTTGGATAATTTTGCAATCAGAGCTCTCTTAGCTCGTTCATTGAAAACTGTGGTATTTTAATTTAGCTTTGTATGAATTATTAGTAGTTAGTATGTACTTGGCAGTAAAATCGCTAACATTAATTCTGACAAAAAAAAAATTGTAGTTAAAAATTTTTTTATTATGTATTGCTATTTAGTTTTAAAGAAGACCCTTAAATTGTTAATGCACTTCTGCAGTAACAGAGATATGAACCTGGGTAAGGAGTGAAGAGTTGTTACCTTAAAATGATGTGTATGGCTATAGGTAAATGACCAATAACAAAAGATAGCGTAAAAAAATAATTTCTATTAAAATAATTTAAAAAAAGTAATTAACCATTTATTATATTTAAGAAGCATAATATAAAAGTGATTTATTACATTTTTTACTACAACTAATCAAAGTATTCAATGACCTTAAACATGTATTACAATTAAAGTTTCAAACTTTTATTGTAATTAAAGAAAAGCTTAATAGTTAAAGTCACCAAATGCAACAAATTCCTTTTTTTAAACCAGAAATGATGAGACAGAAAATAAGAAGAGCATTTTTGTTCTCAAGTCGAAAACATGTCATAAGTTTTCTTTATTATATAAAAAAAAATTTTAAGCTAATTACATGGCAATTAAATATCATTGATATAAAATAAAACTTTAAATCCAGACATCATTAACATATCTATGATCACTTTGTAATTTGCAAATAAAGGATTTTGCTTCAATTTCTGAAATACCTAAAATGAGAAAATATAATTAATAATATAAGGATTAAGAAGTAACTCTTAAAATTCAAAAAGAAATAGGGATTTATTAATGGAAAAATATTTACTTCAAGAGTTGCTTACATTTACATAATCATATAGAATCCGAAACAAAAATGATCAAATGCATTACTAGAACATTTAAAAAATGATTGCCAAAAATATAATGCATTGTAATTGAACCCAATTGGAATTCTAGATTATGTCATCAAAAAATGAAGTTACAGAAATTGCAATAAGAATTTCATATAATCCAAACAGGCAATGGTACCAATTAGTTTAGATTGGCACTGATCTACTTCATATCAAAATTAATTCAGTTTTTGAAATATTTAGACAAAAAAAATGGAAATATTATGTAAGCAGCCAATGGGCAGGGATTGTGGTTTGAAGCTTATTTTTGATGACAAAGTGCGAGGTGGGGTAAGAGCTAATGTAAGACATTAAAATCACCTTATATATATAAAAAAAAAAATATTTTACAAAAATTTTACAATGCAAAAAAAACAAAACAAATTACGTATGGAAACATTTCAAATGTCGAGGGAAGAAAGAGTTGAGTTAGAAAAATCTTTAAAGTGTTTCAGAGGTCAAGAGTTTTGACAACTAAAGGAAAGCAAAAAAGTTTTCTATAAAATATTCTACTCAATATTTTAAAAAATAATCAAAATGTAAATTTTGTTTAGTGCAAATGACATCTTTTATTTTAATTTAATCCTAAAGTTAGTGCACTACAATAATAGTCAAAATTAAAAGTTTTTTTCTCAAATCTATATAATTTATTAATTACCGCCGTAAAAGCTTTAAAAAAAATTTAAAAAATACCGAGAGTTACGTTTGCAATTTGCTTATTTTTTGTTGACAAGAAGGGAGGGGCAGTCCAAAATTGCCAAAAACATGCATTCACAATAATTTAATATCCGTTTACTGTAGAAAACAATAATTACCTAAGCATTGGATAACTACATCAATAAATGCATGTTGAACATCATGTGCCATATGTTGAGCATCACCACAAACCAATATTTTGGCCCCATTGTTTATTGCCTCAAACAAATCAGATGCATGTTGCCTAATGCTTTCATGAACATACCTTGATTGTACAAAGCAAGATGTCTCTTGAGAATGAGAAACAATTAAATGAGTTAAAATTCCAGCTTCCTTTAATCTCTGCAGCTCTGACCTAAGGACATTTAATAAAGAGTATTAAAAAAAATTGAGAATTGTATCAAAGGGATTCGTATTAGAAGATGATAGATTAAAATTATGACATACATGATTTTTGATTGTATAATAATCATATAAATAGTTTTTGATAGTAATAAATTTTGATAGTTTTTCTTACTTATATAAATAATCTCTACTAGACCATCGACATCCATAAAAAAGCCAAACGTCATTTTGTTTTATTTCACTTTGAAATTTCTCTCTGAAAAATTACATGGATTCTAATATCAGTTACAAATAGTAAGTATAACGTCAAAAACAAATATTACATTTTGCAGGGATGAGAGTAGTCAGAAAGTAAAAAAGAGGAAATCCAAGAAAGAAAAAACAAATGATGGGAAAAAAAATGAAATCGCGATTATAAAAATGCATAAATACAAAACACGATATTGGATTTTTAAATCTCGTAAATAAGAATCGCAATGCGCAACTTTTAAATCAGGTAAATACGAAAATCAATGATTGATATTAAAATCGCGTGAATAAAAATCAAGATATTTGCAGAGTCTGGACTTGGGATTTCTAAAAGGCTTGTTTGTATTGTTTTTGGTTAGACATAATAAATAAAAATTTACAAGATTAATTGAATGAGCAAATAAATATTTTCAGAGCAAATACACCTCTATTTTTGCTCTCTTTCTTTTTTTAATTTTCATGCCAGAATACAAGAAGCAGCCACGTCTAAATTATGAAAATACGAGCTATCCAGCCGACGGGAAAAAAATACGGAAAATCTTATTTTCTGTGCGTGAAATCGGAGAAAATAGCTAATATAAGTAAAAATGCGGAAGGGTTAGCAGCTAGGGCGTAGATTGAATATTCTGTTTATTTTGAAAATCGTAATTAAATATAATTATTTTACTTCTACGAATAAATTAAAAAAAAAAAGGGGGGATATTTATAAAAAAAAAAACGAAACTTTTAGAGAATCGGAGTTTTTGTCGGGAAAAAAATCTCATCCCTGTATAAAGAAAGGTCAACCAGTTTTATCCCAAGGAAATGATTTTTAGAGAAACTTCAGAGGGAGGAATAAGGACTTCGATAATTTCGCTGCACATTAACTTGTGCAAAAAACAATTTCAGCGAAAATTAGCGGGAAAAAAATTTGAAAAAAAAAGCGGAAATCCGCGGAAGAATCTCATCCCTGATTTTGAAACATTTTTAGCAAAATGAAGTGCAAGCACACAATTTAAATCCCACCTACTATGATTTTTTAGTATGAATCATATATTAGTATACTTAGAGAGGCAGTGAAAAAAATTTCACAGAAGGTTGGCCTACATTGCTAATGAATATATTAAATTGGCAAATTTTCATAATCTTTGAGTAACCTCAGACAGTATTTTTTTTTCCTTCCTTCAAAAATAGCACAATTGATAGAGAAAAAAAAACTTTTTTTTTTAATGCACTGCACATTGCCTCCTATTAGCTATTGAAACTTTAATGTTTCGAATTTTTAACAATTTTTTTTAAAAGATTTCCAGTTTTGTCTACTATTTCAGTGTAGAATAGGACATAGAATGATTTTTTTTTTCAACCTATCAATTTTTTTACATCAAAAATTATTGTAAAAGAGACAAAGTGTACTTATAAACGAAAAAAGATGAAAGGTAACGAAAAGAATACAGAATAAATATCTTTTTCTTGAGATGCTATCAAGTCACAATTTCAATTTAAAAATTATTAATTTTCATTGAACATTCAGGTTATTTCATTACATGATTTCATGTTCCCTGAAAAAAGGCAGAAACAACAGAACTCCACCAATGTGAATTATTTTGGGCTCTTTGCGTACCCAATAACCGAAAATTTAGTTTATCTGAAATTATTCTTATTATGTTGCGGATGGTGTTTTTATATAATGTTTAATATAAATGTAAACAACAATCACGATCTGTTTGTTGACCTGCTCTACTTCCAGTTAGAAAGTATACAGCTGCTTACTATTCTGCAAGGTGATATTTTAAAAGATAATTTTGTTTTTAATAAAAGAAATAAATTATATAATTTCTGAGCTCAAATTTACAGTATCAATACAATTAACATAAAATAAAATAATACAAACCGGTGTTGTAAATAGCCAATGAAAGGAGCTAATCCAGTTCCAGGGCCAACCATAATTACAGGAGTATCCAAATTACTGGGAAATCGGAAGTAGTTGCTTGTTCTTTTATAAACATAGACTGAAGTCTAAAAGAACAAAACACAAATATTGTTAACAGGTATAAAAATAAGTATATAATAAGTATAATAAATATATAATAAGTATAATAAATATATAAATTAGTTGCTACAAATTTGGGACATACAACAAAAACCCCGACTAATTGAGACCACCAAAACATGGAGTCAAGTAAAAGATACTGTCTATAAGATATTGATGCCACAAGACCTTAAAGAAAGCATTTGTGTCAGATTCAAGGCCATTTATAGCGTGAAACTACAAAATATGTAGGACAAAATTAATAACAGATTAGATTTCAGTTGAGTAACAAAAAGGTCACATGTCGAACATTTGTAACTGAAAAAAATAGCGTAATACATTTTTCTTTTCATTTGTGTATTACTGAATGTAATGTGTGTAGTATGTTTGAAAGTCTAAACATTTGAAACCCAGACAATTCATTTGTGCTAAAACTGTATAGTGCCCAAAAAAGAACACTCTGAATAATATAAGAAGTTTCCAAGCAAAATACGATATCTGAGCAAAACTGGTTGAATAGTTCCTGAAAAATTGAATTTCAAAAAAATCATATAGTTAAAATTTGATTTTTAAGGAAGTATTCAACTGATTTTGCTCAAATTTTGCCATGTAAAATTATATTCTTTAAAACGATGTAAAAAATTTTATACCTTACAACTCAAAATTTTCTCCACCATTATTAAATAAAATAATAAATATTTACTAAAAGTTGCTTTTAACAGGGACTTACTTCTGGGTAAACAAATTTTATAATTGTTTGCAAAAAGTTTTCAATTCGCTTAAAAAGTTTTTGAGACATAGAGAAATACACAAAAAGTAAAGCAAAATTCACATTAAAGGTTCAAAACTTTGGACCGCTCTCCTGACCAAACTATTGGGCCCATATTTGGGGGGTCAGAGATCTGAATCCGTCAACAAAAGAAAAGATATGTTTATTCAGAGAAAATGCGCTTTCTGTCTAACTGCGTAATTTAAAATATTGTATGCACGTATTAATTAGCATATTTAAGGTCATACCCTCTAGCCATTTAGATTGAGTCCAAGAATGTGAAAATCTGATCATTAGATCAAAAGTTATCCTGGGTGGTGCTTTTTTTTAGTACAGTATTAGGTTTTAAGCTGATAAATACCTTAGTAGATGTCAATCCAAGATTTGAAAATTGTTCTGATAGATCTACTTCTGAATGAAATTGGGAGGACAATTTATTTAGCCATCCTGTACAGATACCTTCTCTGTCAAGTATTCTGCCTTCTCCTCTTTTCACTTTTATGACATTAAAAACAATCTTGAATATTGCTGGATCTTCCAGGGGAGAGCTATTAGAGAAAAAAAAATGGCAAATAACAAAATTGATTATTGAATAATGCATAGTTCTAATTTTTAGGACAATATCATTTAAGTAACTTATGTTTAGAACACTGACATTTAAACTTAAAATGTGAAATTTCTTAAAAACATACTTTTCGGTTTAGTGTCCAGTAATAGATATTAGACTCATTTACTTTGAACCATATTGGATACTTATTACCCTAAATTTTAAGAGTGGTTATTTTTCAAGTTTAATAAAGGATTCCTCCAGAGTTTGGTAAAAAAAAAAAGCATTATTTCCTGACTCTTTTTGGCCAAAAATAAATTCTATGATATATTTATACATTATTTTAGATAACCGAAGCAACTTTAATCAGTTTGGGCAAAAGACTTTTTAAAAAAATATATTACCTTGATACAGAATAAAATCGTGGTTTCAAACTTGGAAGATATTCTACAGAGAAAAGAAAAAAACATTGAATAAATTTCAGATCACATAAAAAACATATAAATTTTAAAATATATTAGTAAAATGCAGACCCAAGAGTATTTCTACAGGTGGTGAACAAGTTGGAAAATTTAATAAAATATCAAGAATGGATATATTTGGTTTTCTTATACAGTCTGTATAATGCTTTGATCCATTTGTACTACTGAGAAATAAAAGGCAGTTTTTTTCATCTTGATTAGAAGTGTATTCAGCTAAAATCCGAAGCAATATCTGAAAAATTAGAACTATTTTTAAAAGCTAGGAATTTAATAAAATGGAATGCAAACACATTCTTTAAGATAAAGAGTAATAAAATGACAAAGTGTAGATTATTACGTATATTGTGTAGCTAATACTATAACTGTATAATCATAGTCATAACTATGTCATCATATGTATAATCATAGTCAACACTAGTCTTAAATAGTAAGTTATTAATAAGTTCTGCTACAAGCATTTAGATGAGTAAAAAAGTACTAGTACTGATATTCGCTTTTGAAATGCAATATGCTTTTCTAATTAAATATAATTAATACCATAATAACTTTTCTCATTGTATTTTATATCATAAAAAATTCTCACTTTCACAAAAAATTCTCACTTTCACAAGATTACAATTTAAACTAGTGCGTTTTTAATAATAATGAATAAAAAATGTGTGTTGAAACCAGGGTTGGGTTTTTGACATGACAGTGGTAAAAACCGTATTTTTACAGGTAAACACCGACAAAAACCTGTTTTCTTTAATTTATGGTATATAGCAGACAATATATTATTTTCACATAATTGCCTTTATAACTGAATGTTGTAAATGATTGCTATTGATTTTGCAACTATATACATGTATTCTTATAGAAGGATATACATTCATATTGTAATATACTTATTGAAAATAGTGATACTTACTTTTATCATTATAGCTTGATTTGCAAAGGATTCAAAATTTTGCACTTCTTAATTGTTAAAAACAAACAAACAAAAAAGCTTGGAACTATTAATAAATTCAAGAACTAAAAAGAAGAACTTAAAATTTGGCATTTCTTAAATATTAGAAATAAGCTAAACAAAACTTTCAAAACTNAAATAAAAAAAAAAAAAAAAAAAAAATTAATAAAAAATTACCTATGAAATAAAGTTGAGGGAAGAAAGAGTTGAGTTAGAAAAATCTTTAAAGCGTTTCAGAGGTCAAGAGTTTTGACAACTAAAGGAAAACATAAAAGTTTTCTATAAAATATTGTACTCAATATTTTATAAAATGCAAATTACATCTTTTATTTTAATTTAATCCTAAAGTTAGATCACTACAATAACAGTCAAAATTAAAAGTTTTTCTCTCAAAATTACATAGTTTATTAATTACAAAAATAGCATTACAAAAACATGCATTCACAATAATTTAATAGCCGTTTACTGCAGAAAACAATAATTACCTAAGCATTGGATAACTATATCAATAAATGCATGTTGAACATCATGTGCCATATGTTGAGCATCACCACAAACCAATATTTTGGCCCCATTGTTTATTGCCTCAAACAAACCAGATGCATGTTGCCTAATGCTTTCATGAACATATCTTGATTGTACAAAACAAGATGTCTCTTGAGAATGAGAAACAATTAAATGAGTTAAAATTCCAGCTTCCTTTAATCTTCGCAGCTCTGACCTAAGGATATTAAATTAAGAGTATTAAAAAAAAATTGAGAATTGTATCAAAGGGATTCGTATTAAAGGATGATAGATTAAAATTATGACCTACATTATTTTTGATTGCATAATAATTACATAAATTGTTAAATAATAGTATAATATTTATATAAAAAATACTATAAATAGTTTTTGATAGTAATAAATTTTTATAGTTTTTCTTACTTATATAAATAATCCCTACTAGACCATCGACATCCATAAAAAAGCCAAACATCATTTTGCTTTACTTCACTTTGAAATTTCTCCCTGAAAAATTAAATGGACTCTAATATCAGTTATAAATACTAAGTATAACGTCAAAAACAAATACTATATTTTGAAACATTTTTACTAAAATAAAGTGCAAGCACACAATTCAAATCCCACCTACTATGATTTTTTAGTATGAATCATATATTAGTATACTTAGAGAGGCAGTGAAATAAATTTCATAGAAGGTAGGCCTACATTACTAATGAATATATTAAATTGTCAAAGTTTCATAATGGATGGGTAACCCTCAGACAGTATTTTTTTTTCCTTCCTTCAAAAAAAGCCAAACCATAAAAAAGCCAAACATCATTTTGCTTTACTTCACTTTGAAATTTCTCCCTGAAAAATTAAATGGACTCTAATATCAGTTATAAATACTAAGTATAACGTCAAAAACAAATACTATATTTTGAAACATTTTTACTAAAATAAAGTGCAAGCACACAATTCAAATCCCACCTACTATGATTTTTTAGTATGAATCATATATTAGTATACTTAGAGAGGCAGTGAAATAAATTTCATAGAAGGTAGGCCTACATTACTAATGAATATATTAAATTGTCAAAGTTTCATAATGGATGGGTAACCCTCAGACAGTATTTTTTTTTTTCCTTCCTTCAAAAAAAGCACAATTAATAGAAAATATATATACGTATATATATTTTAATGCACTGAACATTGCCTCCTGTTAGCTATCGAAACTAAGTTTAATGTTTCAAATTTTTAACAATTGTTTTTAAAAAGATTTCCAGTTTTGTCTGTTATTTCAGTGTAGAATAGGACATAGAATGATTTTTTTCAACCTATCAATTTTTTTTACTTTAAAAGTTGTTGTAAAAGAGACAAAGCGTACTTATAAGCAAAAAAAAAGATGAAATGCAACAAAAAGAATACACAACAAATATCTTTTTCTTGAGAAGTTATCAAGTCACAATTTAAAAATTATTCATTTTCATTGAACATTTAGAATACTTTATTACATGATTTCACGGTACCTAAAAAAAAGGCAGAAACAATAGAACTTCAATGTGAATTATTTTGGACTTTTTGCGTACCCAATTACCGAAAATTTAGTTTATCTGAAATTATTAGTATATTACAGATGATGTTTTAATATAAATGTAAACAACAACAATCACGATCTGTTGACCTGCTCTACTTCCGGTTAGAAAGTATACAGCTGCTTACTACAGCTGATTCTGCGAGGTGATATTTTAAAAGAGATAATTTTGTTTTTAATAAAAGAAATAAATTATATAATTTCTGAGCTCAAATTTGTGGTATTTCATAAGATATTAATGACATTAAGTAATTCTGGTGAGTTTGAAGTAAAAATTTGTTTTAGCTATTTATAAATGTATTGTTAAAAATAGTGACAAATCTAGAAAGAACTTGCTTCGGCAATCCTGATTGGGCCATTTTTTAATTACTTATTACTGTTTGTTCTTTGTTGGAAGCCGTGTACCATCATACGTCAGTGTTAGCATATTGTTCCAGCAGCAAGATTTGGTACATACTATTTTTTAGGTTTAAATTTCGAAATTGGTATATTGTTGACAAGGTAAGAAGTGTTTTATAATGACTTTTTTTTCCTTCCAAATTATGATTCTTACATCTTGAAATGACAGGTCTTCTTCAAATGCTGCTTCTTAGAACCATTATTTTTTAAACACAAATAATAAATCAGGTGACAAATACACGTATACAAGAAATACTACTCAAGATAGTCTCAAAACACAATGATCACATTGTGCAGCAAATGTCTTCAAAGTACTCAGGAAACAGTATAAATGTGGTAAAGAGCTTGCAGTGCACCCTAGTGTAGAAAACACCATTCATATGTATATACACATTCATAATTAAAATAGGAAGTAATGCTGTGTCTTCCAGCTATTTTATTATGTAATACATTAGAACTAAGCTTTTTTTAAAGTAAGAACGCTGAGGATCCATTTGATTTTTTTAATCCGAATGCAGCATCGTTATCAAATAGAAACAAGTCATCCCATTCAGTGAGCATATTCTGATGTACTACAAATCTTATTTAGGTGATAAACCAGTTACAGTCTACACACTTAAGAACAATCCCCCATTATGGTGACTCCTTCATTATAGTGATTGATACACAAAGTCCTATTTGCTATTTCAATGATGTGATACTATTTTAATTCCTATTAGACCACTTAAACTGGACTGTTCTTTTCGATACAATGACAAAAATTTTGTTCCATTTATTATTCGTTTCATGAATATCACCCTGAAATGGCATTAATCAGTTTTGAGCTTTTTAAGCAAACATATTTCTATTGATCATGAACAGCTAGTTTCCAGGAAATGATTCAAATCACTATTTCACCTTGAATTTTCTATGAATGAAGAAAGAGTGACAGGACCACCAACTTTTATCTTAGCTGTTCCTTAGCATTACATATGGTCAAAAAAGATAATGGGATATCGATTTCTTTCATTATTGGAAGTTATAAATGCATATATGCCAGGAAAATAGGATATCTTGTATGCATTAACCTTTAAAAACTTCTTTTTAAAAATTTTTAATAGATTCATTAATATTATTTTTTGTCTAAAAATTATGTTCTTGCTTTTTGTAAAATATTGTAATAGACATTTTATTTTGGAAATAAAACTCATGGTATGTGTGCTCTTCTTGATTTTTTTAAAAATTAACCTTATCAGTTTTTTGGGCGTAAGTATTTTAGTGAAAACGACTGCTCGCAACCAGCAAAATGCCATATGAGCTTTAAGAACAGACTTAAAAATTTGGAAGGAAGTGGATTGATTAGATTGCTAATGAATTTTGTCAAAGTAAGTCCAGTATTTATGAGTAAATATTTGCTATAGTTTTGAGTACTCTCGTTGCAGCAACCTTACTTTATAACATCCATATTTCTTAGGAAAACAAGGGTCAAGTGTACTAATGTAGATATGGGTTTGCCTTTTTTCATACAGGGTTCCCACTCTATGATGAGATTGAAATTCAAGGACTTTCCAGGACTTTTCAAGGACCTCAACAAAATTTTCAAGGACCTTAATCTAAGACCAATTTTAAAAATTATTCTCTTCTATTTTACAAGAAGCAACAATGCTTGTTGCCTCCTCTCCTCTATTAAACATCGCTTCTGAAATTATTCATCCATAATTTACACAACCTTCTCTAAATGTTATGCAGCAACAATTCTTTCTGAAAATAAAAATTAGAAGGAACATATCCCATTTTCACCATGTTTAAAAGCATTATTCGTTATGTGTAATCCACAACTGCCAATGAATATGACCTGGTGGGAATATTTCTCTTTTAATTCACACTGAAGCTTCTAATAGAATTTCCAATTGACATAGGGTCCATCCATGGATAATTGAAGTATTTTAGAGAGCTTTTAACCATCATCCATGCATTTGTAAAAAGAGGACAAAA